GTAAGTCGGGGTATAATTTCGCAATTTGTTTAAAATCCAAATCGGATGTATGTAAGCTAATAAATGTTCTCGTTAATCTTATCTCATCTTTTGAATCAAAAGACGTTCATGGTTACAAGAAATCACCACATAGAGTCTCTCGAGTCTCCGTAGATATAACAAACACAGAAATAAATAACACAAAATAAATTGTAGCTATGTGTCGATTCCGTGTGACACGTCCGAACACATAAGCTGAACAATAGTGTGGTGGGAGTGAGTAACCAAGAGTTGCGTGGCACTCAAACAAAAGACGAATCGACGAGATTTGAAAATCGCGTAACTCCGGGTTCGCGTAAGTCGAGGTATTACTGTACTGTATATTGTGGGAGTGCACTGCTTCTTTCGTACTTCTCCAGTTTTGCCAAATTATTTCACAAGATATAACAATTGCTTAAACAATGGCAGTGATTATTTTGAAAAATGACTAAATTGATATTTGAAATACTTATTTTCCTTATTACATAAGTAGATTTCTTTTGTATTTATGGGCAAACAGATATTTCTTTCTGGGCAATCCAGTTCATATATTTAAATTATAATATGTCTAATATTAAACTAATAAAGTTGCTAAATACAGAGTTCCTACACACCTGGAAAGTCAGGGATTTTCATTAGTGTTTGGAAAAAGTGATGGAAAGTCAGGGAATTTGTCTCCTTAGCTACCTTGTTGATTTTGTTTGCTGAATATGGCTGATTAAGCATAGCCATCTGCAGATGGCAGGAAGTAATGCTGCAATCTTTAATAAGAAAATATACCAGAACTTATGAAGACTTCATATCTGAAAGTAAATTGCTTATTTTTTCATTACATTGAAGTTGTGGATTCTATCAAACGTTTTTCTATAGGATGTATGTACTGTAGTTTAATATGGCAGTCTTTGAAACATATCAATTATGCAAAAAGAGGGATAGATGTACTCAATATTCACAGTAAATAAAATGCTGTTTTATTATGTTGATATTCCACACTGTAAGAATTGTGAGGGTCAGGAAATTTGGATAAAGTTGGTCAGGGGAAAATCAGGGAATTCAAAACAAAAATTTGAGTAGGAATCCTGTAAATAAATTATCAGATTTGAATCTACAAATTGATCCTATACTTTCAGGAGTCCAGAACATTTGATTACAGAAAACTGATGAAGTGGATAAAAACTCATTTGGGTCCGAATCCTTTCAATATATGTACCGACGTCACTAGAGAGCGATGCTCGTCTTGGCCCAGAATTGGTAAGTTTTAATTAAAAATCTAAAATAGACTACACTACACTATTAATAGTTTAAGTTTTACAAGGCCCTAGACAAGCATGGACTTTTATCTTTTACATTATGTACTCATATTATAAGATCTAGTATTCTAAGTACTATATTCTGAATACTGGACTAAGGACCAAGCTTGTCAATATTCAGTCTTAGTCTAGTATTTCTATATGTGAAGTCTTAGGCAAAAATTTTGATTAATTATGTCTAAATTACTATTGAAGTATCTCAATACTTCCAGTGTGTTCAATATATTAAATATTATTTATTATTCTTAGAAGAATCTTTTTAACATTTTTGCCCTTTGGGCACTAAGAGGGCTTTTTTATCATGTCTGTCCTGGATTTAGCAAGCCCCATTCCTCACCATTCAGCCATCCTTATCAAGAGTTTCACCCAGGTGATGAGGAATGGGACTTGACATATTTGGTGTTGAACTTCTACGAAGATTTCTGAGGATACAATTTGACTTGAATCTGGATTTTCTGGCCCACCAGTGGCCAAGTGGTCTTCATACCTGAACACTGGGAGTTCAGTCGTGGGTTTGCACCTCGCTCGGACGGGCTGGCCATGTGGAGTTTTCTGGGTTTTCTCCACATCTGTAACGCCTAAATAGGGGTCAGTTTCCTTTAAAAAACCTCCTAGAAGGCAACACCACTAGGCAGATTGCCCAAGTGTTGTGTTGCCTGTTGACATAACTCAAACAAACCAAACCAGGTTTCCCACAATGGTAAATCAGTGCTTTACTGTTTTGACATCTGGCACAATACACACAGGACTGTGCCTATCAAAAAATTGTGCTTTTAATGGTACCTAAAATTAAATACATCCAAATACGATGTACAGAGGTTATGTATAAATTTACCTTCTAATTAGTTCAAGTGCAGTGTTAATAACTGAAGATGTCCGCATCTTTTAAGTAGTTGCAATTCTTGAGATGCACAACTTCAAAATCTTTAAAGATTTATTTTCTTGAATCAGTATTGTATGAATGAAGTGTTTCTGAATTGAAACCTTTTCATTCTTCAAAGATAAAGCCCAAATTCAGAAGAACCAGGCCGGATCATCACATAGATAAATGAGACAAATGTCTAGGGCACGGTCAAATTGTCTATTTTGAAAAGATTTGTAAATAAGATAGTTTACTTTTCTGTTGGACAACTGTATATAATAAATAAACAAAAAATATATTGCTTTTTATATGGTTATTGTGAATTCTAAAATCTAAAGAAAATGTGTTCTTATGTGGGAGGGAACCCGGCAAGAACATGTCTAGTGCCCCAAAGTGGGTTAATCTGGCCCTGGGTGAGAGACTAAATTTCTAAACAAGAATGGCATGCAACTGGGTAACATTGTCAAAAGTTCCTCCTTTGGTGTTAGAATGCAAATTATTGGGCTGCAATTTTCAAAAAATGTAGACCTATAAATTCCCACTGGCACCATCTGTTTGTCCTTCCTTAATATTGAGAATGAAGTTAGATAGATGAATGGCATGGCTTTATTGTTAACAGGAAAACTATGATGTACAGGGTAAGACACTACTAAAATTGAAAGCATTATGACAATATCACAATAAATAATTGCTTGTATTCTTCTCCATTCCTGTTAATAACAAACATTTATCACAAAGATATTTTTCAAAATTGCAGTTATTCTATGATTGTAAGTGTGTATATTGTCATTTCTGCCCTGTTTAAGTCTGCTCTTATTGCTTCAAACAATATCTAAACCTAAAGAACTCTACCTATATAAAATTTGAATTTATTTTATTTCCTTAAATTAGCACAGGAACTCGATTAACTACCTTCCCAGGATTCCACTGCTATGGATTTTGAGCTATGCAAATGAATAAACACCAGAGCTTATGCAGTTTGCAAAATTTTGAACTTTTTAGCATCATTATTATTGAACATGTTTCATTTCACACCACAGTAAAGTACAAGATTAATGAGAGTGCATTTCTAGAAAGAAGTTCCGGTCTTAGGAAAATTCACATGAAAATGTGCTGTTGCACATTCCTCATGCATAGTGTTCTCATATAAAATCAGTTATCGTCTTCTGATATTTGCTGTCACTTTTAGTTGAACTGTTGAGAAAATCACACAGTAAGTTGAAAATAATCATTTTTTGTTGCTAATTTAGAGTAGTAATAAAAAAATAAAATATAAATATAGATAGTTGCTTTTATAATTTAGCAATGGGCCTAAAGTTTTTTTTTCACTTTTTGTCTAAAAGCTGTATTATTGTGCTGAAACAAAACAAATTACAATAATCAACTGTGAAAATTAAGTGCCAGATCTGAAATAGTCACCGGCCTTGAATAAGTGCCAGGAATTTTCACCCATCAAATGAATAAGCACCCAGGCACTTAATTTCTATTCCTTGTTATACACTTAAGTCTTTTTATGCAAATGTTCATTTATACCAAGAATTTTTACCCTAAAATTCCTTATCTGACTATCTGATTTTGATATACAAACTTCTCAACTTGCAAGTAGGCAAAAAATGTAAAATGGCGTTCTTTTAGTGCTCCAGTGGTCGTGCCGTCGATTGCATTATCGTGCATAGCTAATGATTATTTGGCCAATTGTAAGAGTGAGTGATGTATTAATTTTTATATTCTTGCAATAATTTGAATATTGAAAATTTATATAGCATATTTTCGTTGTTATATTTATTAAAATATACCATCCAATTAAATATACAAAGTAACTTCTCTTTCTAAACATTTCTTTTACAACAGGAGTTTTCAAAATCTAAAGAACAAACTCCATTGTCTTGTTAATATTTCTAATTAATCATCGAGCAATTTTGAGTTTAGTGAATATTTATTAGCAAATTGTCTCCATGTCCACAGGTTCAAGCGATGGAGAACATCAAAACGGTTGCAAGACAAAGTATCTCTTCACCAATTCCCACTATGCACCAAAAAACAAGAGAACCTTAATCCTGCATCGACTGAACAGACAAACTTGGGCTAGAGTAAGTAAAGTGGCAAAAAGTAGAATCTATAATCGCTCCATATGAGAAACCTAACTCTAATTAGTTGTTTACAATTACAGTCGTCTCGTCTCATGCACGGGTGTAACATTAAAGTCCAGCAGTGTTCTCAGTCTTATTTGTATCTTTTGTCAGCCTTCAAGTAAGATTTTTTTCTATTTCATTTTGTGCAATACAGTAGAGCATTGATTATCCAAATCAATTAGGGACTGCGGTTGTTTGGAAAATCAATTTTTCAGATAACCAATTACGTACAAAAAATATATATTAACCTTGAAATTTGTTCAAATCCTGGCATGTCCTTAAGTGCCCTCTCATGGTTGCGCCAGTGCTGCCAGCTAAAACACACACACACCAACAAAAATAATATTGGAGTAGCCAAGACATATCCAAAGATTGCAGCACCACAGCACTAGCGGAAATTTAAATTTGCCGACTGGAAAGCTTTCGGTTGATCGATATTCAACCAAGTATCAATATTTGGATAATCGATGTTCTACTGTACTTTTTACTTTAATAAAGCTGTATAATTTTATATTGGAATGAGGCATTAAATTAGCTTAATATAGGTTGGGCTTTTATCATTTGCTATATGCAAATGACAATGTTCAGTGCTCTAACTTTTTAAAAAATTAATGGATGACAATCTTAAACCATGTGTTTTACAGATATAAAAATAATAAAATTTAATTTATCTTTTGAAATTTCAATATTTCAGTCTAAAAATTTTCATAATTGTACAATGTTCATTAACTTAAAAACAATTATAAAGTGGATTTTAAATATGTGACTGTTATTCCATTCAATTCGAGACAAGGTTGCTAAGGTGAATCTCATGTTTCCCGAGAGTTTTGTATCTGGTGTAGTGTACGAATTAAAAATACTATTGACTATTATGTGACTTGCATTATTGAGGGGAATTTAATAAATAAAGAATCCATATGTTTATGTTTTGATATAATCTGGAAGGTCATATAGTTACTATTTATAACATCAATTAATGGAAGATGGATACTAGTCTATTATGTCAGTCAAATAAGATGTTCATTTTATCTATTCTTTGACAAAACAGAGTCAAAGACTTATTTTGAATTAGAAATAAGTATGTTTTTTTCTTTTTAATGATTTCTGTTTCATATCTGATATCATTTGAGTAATGGCATATCGATCATTTCATGTATCTTAGCTGAGCAATGCAGTACTCACTTCACACTGTGGAAGTTTTTGGTAACACGTGGTAATCTTGTCAAAGATTTGTCAACAATCCAGGTCTCTGGTGTGTGTGTAGCTCATTTCATGAATCTTGACTGGGTGTAAAAATGTGCAGTAGCAATGTAATTATCCTGATATTTCAGTCATTTCTCTGTTAGATCCTCTGCTGATTTAGAACTCTTCTACTAAAATTATGACTTTTCTGGAATGATGCACCAATATATAACACCCATTTATTTGCATATATTCAAGATTAGTGCTTTTCAGTAATGTATTTTTTACTATTGATAATTGATTATTGTTACTGACTAAGTAATTCCCAAATTTGAGCAGATTAACTATCATGCTACATTGTTAAAGCTTATCTTCGATTTATAGAAGTGCAACAGTGACAGACTGTCGAGACCTTACCGTCGTCTTGGGACCCGTAACGACTCTGTTGGACGTGTCTAACTGTAAAAATTTACGAATCATTGCCATGACAAGGAGAATACACATTACGTTTGTTTATTTTTGTCAAAATATTTGATGTTTTCTATATTTGTGTTGAGATCTAAACATTTCATTATTTTCTTTCAGCAATTGCAATAAAGTTATGGCATACTTACGAACTCCCAGCAGACCGTTATTGCTAGGGAGTAGGAACCTAAACATACGTTTTGCTCCATACAACACATTCTATCCACTTCTGGAAAAACAGATGGAAAAGGCAGGAATAACAACATATCTTAACATGTGGGATCAATGTCTTTGTATCTGTAAGTAAACATTTACTATGTAAAGTACACAAATATGTTTTACCTAATTTGTATTTATTTATCCAAAGATAACAAAATGAAAGTTGAAGAATTGACTTCCCAGTTATCAATAATGCCATCAACATTTAACTTGTTCACCGTCCCATTCGAAATGGAAGGCGAAACAAAGGTTTGAAACATTTCTTTCTGTCTTAATTAAATAGTTTTTCTTACTATTACTGTACAACTCATACTTATGGAGTGTAAATTATTTCAAATAAGATAAAGGCAATGGTAAAAAAACAACTGAACTAAATTTAATTACTATTATGCATCCATCTTTCTTCTTCATCTCAAATACAACTAGTGCCCTCTGCTTTTTTTTTCTTCTCGCACCTCCTCGCGGGATTTTTCTCTAAAAAATTTCTTATATCTCAGCTACGACTGCTTTTAGACAAAACAATAGCTTTTGTTTAAAATTCTTCTCTAAAAATCTTAAGCAAACACTGCTGTTGATACATGTCTCTTCTAAGCTGTGATATCGTTGTCAGCATATTTCGTAAAGATGTCTTCTAGAGTACAGTTTGTTCTCTGCACAAGTTCAGATATGACAAATGCCATGGTCCTTCAGAAAGTTCTTAAAATCTTCAGACACAAAAGACATTCCTTGATCTGAAATGATTGTCTTTGGAAATCCATACAAATCAAATACATTCTCTTGTAAAACTCTCAATGTGGTCTCCATGCTTAAACTACTCACAGGGATAGCTATTAAATATCGGATAAAATAATCTATGCACATAAAAATCCATCTTCTTGAATTTCTCAATCTTCAGGGGAGTATCCCAATATGATCAAGACCTAACATTTCAAAGGGCCATCCATGATGGTACGTCCTTTATTTGTAAGAAAACTTTGCTTTTCAATGGATAATCATTATTCATTTGACACACTTCACAACTGTTAACGTAACTTTTAACCTCTTTCACTATATGTTCCCACCAATAGTGATCTAGGATTCTTGACACGGTTTTCTCTGCATTAAAGTGGCCAGTTAAAACGTTGTGATTAGCTTTCAGGACCTCATGTTTGAGTTTTTCTGGTACAACAAGTTGTAAATGATTTCTATCTTAAACATCATAGTGATATATTATATCATTCTGTAACACAAATCGATTCTTTGTAGAAATGCTCTTACACTGCTCTTCTAGTCAGAGGTTTCTGTTTTTCAATATTCTAATTATGCTTTCTAATTTTGGGTCATCGTTTTGATGATGATCAATTTCACTACAAATTCTCCTCTTCATGCTAAGCATTTGTACGTTCAATTCTTTGATTGGATTTCTAGACAAAATTTCAGGTAGTGCGTTGGTAACTCCTTTCTTGTGCTTAATGTCATATTCATCATGTTGAGGATGATAGTTTCATTGGTTTTCTAATGTAGTCTTACTCTCCATTGTATGTATTCCTACAGTGCTAGGAAGTAACAAACATGATTCTTGTGACTATTTCATATTTATCTTTCCTCAACGTAATTTTCACTCCTGCTTGGCCAATCCAATCTATTCCTAAAGTCAAAGGAACTGGGTTGTTCTCGAACACGGCTGTTTTCTCTGTGGTGACTTGGCCTTGCAACCGAATAGGTAGATCAACAAATCTAATTGGTTTCACCTTTGTCATGCCAATACCAGTGAACTCAGTGCAGTTTGGACTTCAATAACCATCTGCTTTGAGTTTCACACTGCCTGTTGCAGATTATCTATTAATAATAATACTTTTTTCCATTAGCATTTGCATCATACTAGTAGGACTTGGATTTACAGCTTGATCTTCAGAAGGAGATTCATTAACAACTTGTTCCTCTTTTGACTGGCTAGCTTCATCAACACACTCCCTTTCACTTAATATTGTGCTAGATAATCATTCTATTAGTTTGGATTTTTTACCAACTCTTGATAATTGCCTTTTCTCTAATTCCTCTTTCAAGTATTCAATGATCCTTCCTTCTAAATCATGTTTAATTTCTTCAACCGCAGACATATTAGCTTTAACCAAATCACAATCGTCAACTTAAATTCTTTAGTTTTTTCTAGTTTTAGCACTAAATCTTTAAAGCTATTGCTTCCTAGAGTTAGCTCTTAAGCTTTACTATAACTTTGATTTGGTTACTATCAAAATTTTACACTTTTAACTTCAATCTTAAACTTCAAGACTTCCTACCTTCGTCCTTGCTCGTTTCTTGTAGACATAGCTGGTAGTGACACATCAGCTAATCCTGTCGACTGTGCCAATTCTTGTACGACTCATATTTATGAAGTGTACAATTATTTCAAATAAGATGGATAAGTAATTGTTATAATTAAATTTAGTTTAGTTGTTTTTTACCATTGCCTTTAATGGTAAAAAACAACTAAACTAAATTTAATTATAACAATTACTTATCCATCTTCTTCATCTCGAATACAACTAGTGCCCGCGGGATTTTGCTCTAAAAAACTTCTTACAGTTACAATAACAGATATCCATAGTGAAAGATTGCAAAATGCACTCGCTCTTTTCAAACAATTGAGATGATCTGATGCTTCAATTTCTAATTCTTCTTGCAGCATACAAAGAAAGATTCTCAGGCTGCATGTATGGTTGAATCCATTGACTGGCACAAGATATATGTGCTGCTTCTGAAACTTTTGACAAGTCAAAGCCTAATAGCATCCATCATACAACTATAGTTAGTATTTGACAGTCAAGAAAAAAAAACCATAAACCAAACTGTGAGATATTTTACCACTACTAGATTGGCTTATTACAAAAATATGTTCCGTAGCAAAATAGCAAAATGTATATCAAATAAAACATGGTAATAAACAGTGATTGCTGCCAACTTAAACTTACAAACCATACTCATCTCTGTATGTTACTATATAAATATAGCAATGCATGTTTCCTTGTTTTGGTGCTAATGACACATCAAGCATGAATAATCAATCAGCATTTACTTTTAAAGTGCAAATATTTCCATTATATTCAATTTTTAAACTTAAAATACCACATATATTGCATTGTGCAGCATTGTTTGAATGACCTATATCTAATTTCTCACCTGAAAAGGCACCAGCCATATTATTGTGCTACTGTATAACAATGCCTAGCATGTAGGAACTTTGGGAACTACTGGTATATACCATTGATGAGAATTTTTCAAATGTCGAGTCTTATTAATTTGTATACACCAAACAATTCATTATTAGGACATTCCAGGAGGTTTACCTCTTCCCTATCAACACTTTGTAAATAGAAAACAAGAAATATTTCAGAGCTGGCAACAGAGAATATTGGAATTAGACTTGAGTGACGAGCAAAAAGAAAGCATTTCCAAAACTGTACAACAGAAATTCAAGGTAGGTTTTATTTTGTTCTTCATTATATTGCTGCATGCTATGTTCATATACATGGAGTTTACGTTTCAGCATTGGCTAAGAATTTCTGGATATCAGCAGGAAATAGATTCCCTGGCGACCCTCTCTGAGAAACTGTCTATGGAGTTGACTCAATGATTATTAATTGGTCTTCCAAATACAAAACAAATTTTTATCAGTGCAAGCAACTAAATACTGTCCATTCCAGTTAAAGGCAACAGAATTAACACATATCTGAAAATTGAAGTTTAATATTAAAAAGAGTGTAACATTTGTGTGTGAAAACTTTGCCAGTTTAATCTTACTTTCTCAGTGTCCGGTAGAGGTACTTTATACCTTGATGCCGGATCAGACAGGAGTCTGGGCCACAGCAAGATGGAGGCTGCAGATTTTCTCTCGGAAACCACCAGTTTGGTCGGCCGGATGTCAACCGCATACAGACGTATCCCACCCACATCGTCCCCACATGCCAACAGGGCAGAACCTTTTGAAAAGCCATTTTACTTCTATGACCAATTTATTATAGAAATGGTCTAGATCTTACCATTCTTGCTGTCAATGCAACATCCCATTGATATGTAATCTGTAGAACAGCCATTCCATTCATAAATTGTTTTATAGATGTATTTTAGTTGTTGATTTGGAATTTGTTTTTGTTTTATTATTTCTTTTGTGCTGCAGATCCAAATTTCTCCAGAATTGGCAGCTTTTAGAGCTAAATTAGAAAATGCAATAGACAATTAGTGAGGCATTTTTATGTAACATACTCATATAGCTTAATTGTGTTACCAAAAGTGTCTGCAGATAGAATGTTCAATCCATCAAAGAGTAAATGCTCTTCTTTGCCACCTCTATTGGTAAATTTTGATTCAAACTGCTTGCCTTTCCTTTAATATAAAGAAAAATTCTTGCATGAGTCTAATAAAATTAAATTTTAATTATCTTCATAGAATAGGAAAATATAGTTCCTGCACTGTGGTCCCCTGCAGATATTTGCAAAAATTGCCCAAATGAGTATTGAATATTTTCCACATCTAAAAAATAAAAGTTATTGGGAGACAAGAAATCTTGTTCATTGAAATGCCAAAATTATCACATAAAAAACAACTTTGGATGTAATTAATTAATACAACTTTAGTATTCTTTTTGACTCAGCTATAGATGCAACCTAACTTTAGCATTGCCCTTTTGACTGTCCAGTCCTGAGGATGGTTCATTTACTGACTTTATCATTCTGTAGGAGACAATGTAAAGACCCCGTAGATGGCAAACAAAGCAATGGAAGTACAGTACTGTACATAATCCCAACCATAAATGAGGAGGCCATCATCGATGCAGCTTATGTCAGATATATCTCAAGATCCCTCAGCAAGTTGCTCACCAAGCATAAAGATGACATTAAAAGACGACGATCTTCCTATTCATCCCCCTCCCATGCCAGCATTGTAGAGAAGTGTAAACTTTATAACCATTTAGTTATCAACATGTATTGAAATAGCAAGTACAAGGACTCCATTCCTCTTGCCTGGTAATATCTCCTTATTCTTTCACATCAAGAACCAACATTGTAGCTCTTCTTCCTGGGTTACTGTATTGTATTGCAGTCTACTCATGTAACAATAGCAGATCAAAAATGTTAAAAGAACACTAAAATTGCATTAATCAATTCAGTGGCCAGTTTGTTCACTACATTCTCTTAAGTTCCCAGCAATTTTTGATATTAATATAATTAAACATAAAAAATACTTAAAACTGGAAAAAAACAAAAGAAATGCATTAATTTTGAAGAAAAAGCTTGAAACTTTATTTTCCTTTGTCTCACCTTTCTGCGAAATTTGACACCGATGAGTCATTGTTTACACAGCTGGAGTCGGATTTCCCGGGAGGACAAGGGTTTAAAGTAGGGTGAGTTCTAGCTGGCCGTATATTTTTAAATATTTTTAAAAAATTCAAATTTTAATTGCGATTTCCGATCCCCCCGACTTAATTAAACGTGTATATAATAAAATCTATTAATTAAAAAAATTAAAAAACTATAACTGACATCAGAAAGCAGCTTTAAATAACTTTACCAAAGGAAATCCATGTGCTACAACTTAGGAACCATGAAATAAATTTGATAAAAAAACTCCCATTAAAAAACAATTAAGCCTTAATCGAGCCTTATCAAACGCTCATTAAAATCGCGATAAAATTTTTTGCGTGGGTAAAAATTTTTGAAAAAATTTGGAGACTTAAAAAACATTCCAAAAATTCAAAAATTTTTTTGGGGGGCCGAAAGGACCAAGTTTTATGTAAGGCTATGTAACATGCCCGAGTTAACTCGGGCGAACAACTAAAGGGGTAAAATTAAATTAATTAATTAAAAGATGAATTTGCTATGTAATAAAAACCAACTAAATCAGCATGCATTAATTACCATTACAAAATTATTTCATGAATAAGTCATTATTATGGCATTGTTTCCATAACAGTATTATGAGACAAATAAAATTATTTCTAACTTTAACACTGTGTTCAGTAATAACTGTCCACAAAAAATCTTTATCAGTGTTGTGTTCGTTACAAATATCCACTAACGTTTTCAACCTCCACTGAGGTCTTCTTCAGGTGCTGACTAAGCATTGTCTCCGGAGACAACACTGAGCTTTTTGTGGACAGTTAAAATTATTTTTATATGTGGCAACATGTCTCTATAACATACATTTTAATCTACTTCTCAACCTTTTGCCACTACTCGTGAAATATGTAGTCACTTACCTCGGTACTTCGTGCAAATCCCCATCGACATTCCAGACAAGTGTGCCTCCATCGCACGCGACTAACAACAGATTGCGGACTGACAAAAATGCCATCTGGACAACCTCCATCTCCGGTTCTAGAGTCAGTAATTTCCTGAAAAGAAATAAACATTTAATGATTAATAAAATTCTTTAGTTGGTCATGCATATTCTTAATGCAATAATAAACTTAGATTATTACAGGAAGGTTACATTAAAAAAAAAATCTATCTAAATACCTGCAAGATGGAAAAAGCTTAACTTTTAAAACTAAATTCAAGAATTTTGAATTAAATATGCTCTTCCATAATGAGAAAATTTCTTTGGAAAGACTTTCCCATTACTGAATTATACAAATAAATAACTCTGCGTCACAACTTCTGATACGATAGATTGTTAATGTTCTTATCATGAATCTCGCCACTACCAACAAATCTAAGAAATGACTATATAGAATTTGAATGTAAGATAAGTCCTCTGAAAACCACCAGACCTACTAACAGTGGTGCCTCCATGCAAATTTCCAGACGACGCATTACAGTTAAACTTTATTGTGGCATCTCATGCAACAGGTCACTGTTGCATGAGGTACCCCTAAAGATATCATTCCTGCAGAATAACTCCACAATATAACAAAAACAAATGATTTTATGGGAGAAAATTTCTTAATAAACGACATGTTCAGGTACTTTCAAGCTTTTTGGCCCATTGTCGAGAACACTTAAAAGATTCTATTACCACGAAAGTGAAAATAGAAGTAACTTTAGACCAAACATAACCTAAGACATTGTTAACATGCAGTCTTCTCGAAAACTGTATCTACAAATGCCAAAAACAGAAAGACTAAGGGCATCGCAAACCATCCTTGCACTCTCCAAAAATCACAGTATGTAAAGAATTTGTGAACATCTGTATGTTCAGATTTGAAAAAAGTTAACCTCTGGTGGGATACTACAAGATCAAGTACACAAAGGTGTGTCAGCCAAAAAGATGTTAAATACTGTAGCCTCTCGTTATTATTACTTGTTTGGATATATTGGGTTATTTTTTTTTGGTCTTCCAAATATAAAAGCTAGCTGACAGTGGATAGGCACAGCACGTTGGTTATATTTCCCTATTTAACATATCACTCATTTGGTTCGTCTCCCTATGTGTGCATATAACAAGGGACTACTGTACATTGTATAGTTTTTTAAGCTAATAATTACAAAAACATATGATTTTTAAATGCAAAACTTTTTCATGCATCCCTGTATATAATTTATACAAATTACTTTAAACACTCAATCAATCAATTAATTAACATTTTTCAAATAATATATTCAAGAAATATTTAAAATATCAAAATTTCTAATCACTAAAACATTCTTTCTGACTGAAAATTTACTAGACACATTCTTTCTCATCAAGTAAAGAGTATTCATCTTGAGAGAATTTTTGTGATGGAGAATGTTTCTGCTTAATCAATTTAATGAAGTATTGCGAAATCTTATGATAACAAAATGGCAGAACTGGGCTTCCAATTAATTGTCTCCGGAAGCTTGGCAGTGCCAGAATTAAGCATCGAAATACTGCCACTTTGTATCAGACGTCAAGGTGCCATTTGGGAACGGATCAAACAAAATTGTCGCTCCAAAATAGTGATAATGACAAAAAATTAATACGTATGACTAAAATACATTTTTACCACTTCATTCTCCCTCTTCCCAAACTAATTTTATAAAAATGAAGACCTATTTGTCAGTTGATCTTCATATCTTAAGCATTTGGATTAACACATCACGCATTTAAAATTTTCTCTAAAATTAAATACCCACAATACAATTTCTAAGCACTTACTCGACCTTTTCGTTGTAATCTGGACAGTTCGGTATTCCGATATTCCACAGGTGAATTTTCTTGTCGGCCCCTCCACCTAAATAATAATTTTATTAAGTTTGTTAAAATTCAGAATTTAGTAAGCAGTTAATTATTAACTTGTTTTAAATTTTATATTATAAAATCAAAACAACTAAATTACAATTCTCATTCATTATCATGCCATACAGCAAAATATAATTCATAGTAGTACTTGAAGCCATTTTTTGTGAGGTATAAGGATTCCGGTTGTTGCGGCTTCTGTTGGTCATTCTCAGGTAGTAAATATCCAATCGAAATGAGCATAATGGCATTTTCCCGATCCCCTTACTCCATCATTTTGCTTCTGCAGCCTTATTATTTGCAGAAGTTGTTGAAAGGTTGTAGATCCCAAGAGTGGAAGACTGACAAAAGCCAGTTTAAATGCCAATAGAAGTGTAAGTACAGAAGGAGCTTATTTTGAAGGTAGCTTGGTATAAAAGCTTGTATGTTGTCTAATAAAATATGCGTCAAAAATTCAGCTTGTTTTTGACTCTACTACTTACTACAAACAATAAAAAGAGGTTAATATGAAAAAAGGAATCCTGGACACAATTGTTAATTGATAAGAAATTTGATTGGACTGAATACAACATGCCAAGTTAGACTGCCTACCAAGATGACTTTCTATGGAAAATTCGCCCTATTTTGGCTTTAGATGTGAAGTAAACCCAGGAAACTCCACACATCTAGACAATTGGCGGGACATAAACCTGCAACCGATTATTGGCAATTGGCCATTTTATCCACCCTGCCACCAGCAGGCATTGCGAAATCAAATGTGACACTGCAATTTGCATGTTTCTCTTGAATGAAACTTTTGTTTTTTGTTCTTTTAAATTTAAATTCAGTACATTTGATTCATATTGTTTGTCCTATTTTTGAACACAGAAAAGTGTTCAATTCATTAAAGACATTTTACAGTGATCCAAAGCTGTGGGATAAATACTTCCTAAACACTTCTCTGGATCTATCTTATAGGTTACTTATTGTTAAGTGTAGTATTTTTGATTTTTGGAATGAGCAATATGATGCTATTCATTACTTAATATTGTCATAATTAGGCTGCAATTTCAAGTTGCATATTTGTTTTACAATGGAAGATTGTATAAATTTATGGTACATGCATCCACAGAGTAATTATTGCCAAATCTAAAACTAAGCTTACTGTAAGAATGGTATGGAACCAAAGTACAACTGAAACCATCTTGCAAAATAACAGGAATAATACAGAGCAAAATTATAGAGTAGTAACAGATACTAGCAGGTGTCGAGCCCAAAATTATTGACAATGATGATAATGAATATTCTATAATAAATTAAATAGATACTGATTGATTAATTAATTAATTAAAGTATCAAAATTAAGCTTACTGAATAACCAGGTAGGTTCTGTCGGGTGAAACAAAATAAAGTTCACTGCTCTGTTGTGAGCTTTGAAACTGCAATAGCAGACCAACTGAGAGGGATGAAGTAGGTGAATTTCTTTATTGCAGCCTGCAGCAGCCAGAAGGGTCGTCTTGTTCGTGCCGATCATCACCACCGTCCAGTCCAGGGTAAAGAATTCCTAACAGCAACAAGAAATTATTTATGCTTCTTAATGTTTTCCAAATTACTCGAGAAATTATTTACCTCTGTCAAATTTGGGTGTTTGTAGCGTTTTACAACTCTTCCGGAAGAGCAGTCTATTAAGCAGATGATGTTTCCTCCGCACGTGGCAACGATGTTTGTCGTTCGGCCTAAATAAGAAAAGACTTTCAATATAAAAAAATTTACAAACATTATGAGCAAAGTAATCTAAATTGGCATTGAGAAGGAGCGTGTATAACAAAACTCAACTGAAATTACAATTTATCATAGAGATTTAAATTACATTTAAACCCAGATCCTGCTGAAGAGGGCGATTTGCATTTATAATTCCTGCAAATTGGATAGATGTGTTACAAAGTTAAACAATATAACACAAATTTTCCTTAAATCAGCATCAATAAATTACGTTATGCCGAACTTTCTGCAAGTCAAAATGCTTTTGTTTATTGAATTATACCATCTAAAATATTGACAATACTTGCTTATACATCAGTAGAAACAAAACACCTTAATTTGTTGCCGAGAAATATATATTTGAAACAAACAAACGTTTTCAGCCTGATTAACAGACCATCTTCAGGTCAAAAAACAAAAATGGAACAGATATGTTCCACGCATAGAATACCAACATTTAAATCAAAATTTTGAACAAAAAAATTTTTTTAAATTAAACAAGAAAAACAGAAGAACAATTAAAATTAACACAAAACTAAAACAACATAAAATGTCATAAATCGTCCAATAATTCTAGTCTGAGTTTTTAGTGAACTTTTTAACCATGTACTTCCGCACAAACAACAGGCTCTTAGCATCTCTCGCATTTAAACATCCTTCATGTAGCCTACTTCTATACATTTCAATCTTCTCCACCGTCATTGATTCTAAGCATGGAACGTATCTGTTCCATTTTCATTTTTTTACCTGAAGATGGCCTGTTAATCAGGCTGAAAACGTTTGTTTGTTTCAAATATATATTTCTCGGCAAGAAATTAAGGTGTTTTGTTTCTATGAGTTTATTTGCTGAGCACTTTTAATATTATGCATCAGTAGTTCTCAACCCACATTGTATAGAATAGGGGTATTCTGCAAATTTTTTCCAAGTGTTCCACAAAAAAATAAAAAAACAGATTAATTTTTATTGTACATTTATTCCAATGTACTTCAGGATATTACTTTATTGTATAAAATAACATACAGGGAATTGTCTACGAATAAAGTTTATTAGTTTATTGCTTTGTTGTTTGTGAGAACAGTAAACGTGGAATTACTTATTGATTTTTTAATATATTGGATGCTGATGTTCCACTTAATAAAAAGTATATGAATGGTGTTCCAAGGTCTTGAAAAGATTGAGAACCACTGTTCTACATATTCACACAATTTAAATCGTTGTTTTAATCATACAGATTATATAACAATGTGTTTATTGTACTGACTTCAGTACAAATTGTATTGCATGTACAATTTGTACTAAAGTAATTTGATTTCTATCCCAACTGCCCAACCAAACAGCAAAATATTGACCTGCTCGGCAGGTTCACAAGATTAGAATATTACAATATAAAATAAAAAGATATAGTAGTCATGTCTAGATAATACTCTCTTTGTACATTGCTCCCTATACTCTCCTTGTACATGCAAATAATGCATTCCACCATATGTATTTTGTGTAATATGACACGTGACCCCCTTTGTGTCCCTACCCCTTGACCTTAACCACCCATATTTAATAAAAGCAATGCCCCATACGTAGAAATAATACTGCCAAGTTAAAATTTTTGGCTTATCCCATCTCGAGATACAATGCAAAACAGAAGCCTCTGTGAAGATAAAAAATGCTTACAAAATTGTGTGTATGTTTTGGAACTCCTTGAGTGTCAATAAGTAATAATAGCTTACATAACATAGTACCAAAACAGTTGCTCTACAAATGTTATACAATAGTCAAACACCGAATCATGACTTTGATTAGCACCATAAGAGGATCAATACATTAGCCATTGGCAACAAATGTATAGTGTAATGTTCATTTATACCAGTGGTTCTCAACATTTTTAGGATTTCTTGCATGATGGTCTCTTTACAATTTTTTAGATTGCTTGCAGACCCCTTAAAATTAACTACAATTAACATATAGGCTACTGTTACCAAAACATTTTTTATTCAGAAAATGATAAATCTTAGTCATCAAATGTACAGTACATTCAATGGGATGGGTGCATCTGCTTTGCCTGAAATGACCCCTTCACTGTCCCCTAGAGACTGCAGACCCAAATTTGAGAACCACTGATTTATACTTAAATTATTATTATATTAATATCTATATTAAATAAATTCAACAAATACAAGTTTTAATAGGAAATATTTTGACATTCTATTCAGTTACAATGTGGTGACTGCTTTATTTACCACTCTATTATAAAGGCTTACATTTTATGTCTGCTGTGTCTAAGTTATCTTTAGTTTCAAAAAGCTTTCTATCAGGCCTAATAAGTCAGCTTATATGCTATTTTATGTTCAAAATTTAGGCCAAAGGTTTAACTATCCTAGATGGTCGGAACAGCCTACCATTTTAAGAAATCAGAATTGAATATAGGCAAATCTAGCAACTCCTAGAATTTTTTGAGAAATGATCTGTCTTGGATACGTCAAATATGTCAGGTGCTATCCTCCACAATCCAACCTACCTCCATTGAAGGTCTGACTTAGTTTAAAAGAATCTTATCAGTACCCACAGGACAGAAAGAGTAAAAAATAAATTAATATATTATGTAATTTGCACTAAATATTGGAAGAACTGCCATATACAGTATAGTTAAATTATGATTCTAAAATTGCATATACAGTAAAACTTCTCTAACTCAAAGACAACAAAGCACTTGGTAGGTCTTGTTGGAATAAGGATTTAACATCTCCAATTTGAATTTCTTAACTCAAATTTTTTCCAAGTCAAAGTCCTCAGACACAAATTTTAATGTTTATTCTATCCAAAGTGATCCTAATTAATGGATTTCCATGAAACTTTCAAACAGTTGTATCTGACACCAATGTTCCAGTCCAAAACGAGAGGTTCTCTCACTAAATTTCAACAAGAGGTACCTGCAAAACTGTTTGATTTCAATAGTTACATTGAACATCTTGCTGGAAGGCTACACAGGCTGTTTAAAACAAGAAAAAAAAAACTATCAAACATTCTGTATATAATACAAAAGAGGTAAAAGTACAAATCTATTCAAAATCAACATTTTTACTCTACTGTTCTCTAACTTGAATCGTCTGTAACTTGAAATTTATCCTGCCCCTTGGAGCTTTGATTTAGAGAAGTTTTACCGACCATCTAGATATACGGATTACTCAAAAGGAGAGTTGTAGCAATGGGCGTATTCAAAATCTCAGCACTCTGCCAGCACCTCTGTTCAAATTTTCTGGCAAATTCTGGTTGCTGCCAGCATCTTTTTTGGCACTCAACATACCAGCAAACAAGACGGCAGCCACCAGGAGACTTGTAAAAGCTTTTTTTTTTTTTTTGTGTTGACAATTTTGAATTTAATTTATTTGTTAATGAATGTACACTGAATAAATTAAGATTAGGTTACTACATTAATAGAATATTTTAATGTACTAGTATATTTATGTAAGACATCACATAATTTGTTTTAGTTGTTAAAATGTAATCTTGAGATTGATTTAGTTATTTATATATTTATAACGTCTACGAAAATTAAAAATTCTTCATCCCTCTTTCTCTTTACAAAATATTCATTTTTCATTAACCCGTTCTCATTAAAAAAGTCCAAAAATAAATTCAACATAATTTGGAAGTCACCAGACCGGATGGCCGAGCAGTAAATGTGGCAACTTACTGCTCTGGGGGACCCAGGATTGAATTTGGATGGGTCAAATAATCCCCAATAATTTTTTGAGGAGAAATCTGACTGGATATGTCTGTCCCTGTCCCTCACCACCAGCTGACCCATTGTGGGCCTGGTCAAATCCATAATGGGCTTGCAAAAAGAGGCCCTCTTAGTGCCCACAGGACAGAAAGAATTAAAGAAAAGAAAAAAATTGGAAGTCACCATAATTTGCCATTTTTCTTGTTTTTCTTTCCTGATATCCCCAGCAGTGTTTCACCAGATTGATGCTGAAATTTTGAATACACCCAATGATTTTGCTGCCCTTGGCAATGCATTTGTTTTTCAGTCTGCAGCACATAAATGTTTGTGAGGCAATGAGTACTTGGCACCCCTTGCACTGCACGGCCTTGGCACTTGCCTCATCGTCAATGCATTGCTACTGCTCTGCTCAAAAACCAATTGATATAATTTAAGAATGTTAATACCTAGAGGTTGATGCACGAGGACGACAAAATTATTGTAACCAATTATCTCTTATTGTTTGAACAATCAATCAACTCCATTGGTAATATTCATTATCAACCAATTACTCCTGTAAACCAACCTTAATATACAAAGTTGCAATTTCAAATTCTATTAAGTAGTCAGTGTTCATGTGCAGACATTTTTAAAATTAATTAATTAATTAATTAATTAGATTAAAAATTTGTTTTTTAAACATGAAAAATGTGTACCTGGACTGATAATGTCTGGTTCAAAGACAGCTTTCCACACTTGAGTCTTGCAGTCTTCCGGATCGTTTTGCACAGAATGACAACGAAGAAAATGAAGCGGTTTATAGTTTAGATTGAAAGGAAACTTTTTTGTCTGAAATTGAAGTATTCTTTAAAAATAGATTATAGATTATAAATGTCTAAGGGCTGGAACACACAGATGAATATTTTCACACTGAATTACTTTGGTACAGAACATGACAATACGTGGATTGAAATGAGACCAACAAATGGCCTTCACGTAACTAAATTTTACTGCTAAATTCATCTTTGAAACACACAAATTAGCCCAACCACCCAACTTCCTCGCAATTAATATGCATCTGTGCATTGGTATGGAATTCTGCACCAAATTTTGTTTGAAAATATCTGTGTGTTCTGGCTCTAAAATAAAAAATTTACAACTCCAATCAGAGAAAATTCAGCTTTTGCAGTTTTACTTAATTTGATTGCAAGTTTAAACTGATAAATAAGATAAAATACACAGAAGCTCAGTATTTGGAAGGACTACATTCTTTTGTTTCTGTATTTTTCTTCTTAATGTAAGTTTATTTACGATAAAAATACAGGTATACCTCGAAAAATACAGGTTATGTCATTTCAAGTTAAGTCGTTCTTGATTATATGTCAATTGTCAAAAAAAAATATATGGAAAAATAAAAATCAAGTTTAAGTCATTTTATTCGACTTTACATCTGTCCGCCACAGATATTGAAGTCATAATATCATTAGAAAAGTGTTAATAGCACATAAAATCATATTAACACATTTATATTTACAGTAAATGTTAATATAATCATCATAAATCCTAGAGAACAAAATATGAAAACATATGTGATTCTGTGTTGTCATCTTATTTAGCAGTCTTTAAGAGCTCAATATTGGCATTTTCCACAGTAGTTCCAATATCTACTGTTCGGCGTCATTCTCAACGCCTCTCAATATTGATAAATTTCACATAAATTAGTTTATTTTCTACTATCACAAAATAATTTTAATAAATGTCTTTGTTGTTTAACCTTACAAAATCATCTTATTTTTATAATGTTTTAGAGCAAACCACATTCACAAATAGAGAGTCTGCAATGTACTGTAAACATCGCCAAATTGTAAACATATATATTTACAAGTATGTACTGTATGTACATGTATTCGTAAATTTAGATTACTTTTTTCTGTACTATATTAAAAACTAAAATTTATTTGTTTGTAAGCTTAAAATGGATTCTTATTAACCGTATATTATTAAAAATGCATTTATAAATAAAATACAGAACTGGGAATGGTTATTTGTGGTTTAGCCTAGTGACAAGTAAATTCGACTTAAGTCGCCTCTCCTAGAACAAATTACTGATGTAAGGCCCTCGCCTTACATCGGTAATTTGTTCTAGGAGAGACGACCTATACCTAGGAGAGGTATACCTATAAAAGCAGCCTTAAGAGCCAATTCTCCTCCCTGCAAACAATCTAGCATAGCGGTTCCCAAAGTGTTCGCCATGGCGCCCTAAGGCATCATAAAATGTTATAAAATTTTTATAATGTTAGAATTTAATGTACAGTGGGTGATCGGTTAACGAACATAATCCGTTCCAAGACTTTGTTCGCTATCCGATTATGAATTTACCATAGGTTTGTATCGGAATTTGATTAATTCGTTCTGGAGACATCCCAAAATAAAAAATATATACTTTCTTACTACGTTTATTTCTATGTATACACAGATGTGCATTTTTATTACTTATGGTTTTATGTTTGTGGGGGTTAAATAATCTGTTTAATGTCCATTGCTTTTCTCTCTTCTTCGGGATTTTTCAGAAGTAATTAATAGCATTGTAATTGTAGAGATCCCCAAGCCTATTAACCTCAACCTGGTTTGTATGCCATTCTAAGACCGTTGATCTGACATCCCCCATTTCTTCAAAAGATCTTTAATTAATAGCAGATATTGGCATTAATCCTCTTTTTCAGAATAAAACATATCTTGCCGAGTTTCTTGGTGTTCTCTATTCAAGAGTTCTTGACGTTCTTCTGTCGTCAGATCCGTTTCAGGTTCCATTATGAGCTCTTCATTGTTCTTTATTTCTCAGATGTGATTTTTGTTATTCCTTTAGCTGCTTGAGTCTTCTTGATAATACAGTATCTTTCTTAGATAAGATTGAACTGCGGCCTACTGTAGACCTGTTCAAGCCATACTGTCCAGCAACATCAGACATCTTTTGCACACTCTCTACCTTTGCTATTATACTCTCACCTTTCGAAAATAAAAACCGACACAAAACTTAATGAGTGCCCGCCCGACAGTCTCGCGAATACTATAAAAGAATTGTTTGTCAGAAAAATAAAAGGTTGGAATTACAAGGGAGTATTTCAAAGTTCGAGAGATACTATCTAATCAGTATATTATCAGGTTGAGCGTCGATGTTGAGGTCTCCCGCGCTCCAAAAAGTTACCTGAAAACAAAGGAAAATCAGTCGGTATTTGCTATTTCCGTCGCTTCTTTTTATGTCTGTTCAGTGAAGTGTTCGTTATCCGATCATGTGTTCGTTGTCCAATCATAAAAATCTTTCACGAAAGTGTTTGTTATCCGATTTGTTTGTTAACCGATCACCCACTGTACTTGTTAGAATTCGACATAGGGCATCTTGGAAAAATCTGCATTTAGTAAGGGCACTTAGAATGAAAAAAGTTTGGGAACCACTGATCTAGCACATTAATTTTGTCATTGAGGAACATTCTGATATTTTACTGTCAGTGTTTAGATGGCATTACTGACAGAAGACTGGATGACCAAGTTGTTAAGTGGCAACCTACTGCTCTGGAAGACCTGGGATGAAATATGATGGGTTGAAAACTCTAGCATTTTTCAGGAATGGTCTATCTGGATATGCTAAGTCCTGTCCCTTAATACCACCTGCCTCGTTACAAACCTGGCATAATGGGCTTGCTAAAAAAACGGCCATCTTAGTGCCTATAAGGCAGAAAGAGTAGTAAAGAAAGAAGAAAAAAAAAAAAAAAAAGACATTATTGATTAGTAAAGATGAAAGAAACACTACTAAAATCCATTCATAAAGCACAATACTGATGTTTACTTTCTGCACTAGCATTTGCTTTGAAAATATAAGAAATCAAGCATCCACTAGTATGCTCTAATAGTCTACAACATAAATTGCAGCTTAAAATAAAAGTATTAAAAATTCTTTAATTGCACCTTCAGATCACCAATTATTCTTCCTCACATTTTCCAGCAAATTTTTTTATTGAAAAAAAACATTTTCAGCCTTCTTTTGCACCTTTTGTACTACAAAATGTATCCCTCTGCATTACTTATCTTATTGCATAAGCAATAGCAGTGTTCTAATAAAAATGTAAAGATCCATTAATTATTTTAAATTTAGCCCTAGAGACTGTTAAGAGAGTATTGTTTTTGCAAGCAACCATCTTAAGAAGCATGCATGAAGTTATAGAAAATAGACTACACAGCTGACCAATGGTATATGGTTCCCTTTCCAATAAGCTACTAAATGAAGACACTAAGAAATTAGCCCTTTATGTAATTAAGTACTTACTGTTTCAGTAGAAATCTTTCTTGGTGATGATCTAGGAGGAGTTCTTAAATTACTTGATATGTTTTTTTCACTTATATTTAGTAAATTTTCTTTTTTATTAGTAACACTACAAACATTCTTTTGTTTTAATGGTGAATTGGTAAATAATTTTCTTTTTATTGCCAATTTACTTGGTGAACATTCGACAGAACTCTGCCGTTTCCTAGAAGGCGACATCAAATCCGTATGAGATTTTGGCGTGCAAATTCTGGGAGACTGACGAATGCCTGATAATCTCCTCACCGCTGCATTGAAAATTTCCGTCCCCATAGATTCGATCTGTCATCGAAAAAAGAATTTAAAGTTATATAAAATAAAAACCAAATATTTTAAGAGAAACCGTACCTTAAAACATCTAAATTTATTGGGAACTTCGGGGCAGGTCAAAGTTGCCTTTCGCAAATAACGAGAGAATTGAGTTTGGAGATCCTGATGTTCTGCTTCGGTCATTCCGTCACATAACTTATTAGCAAATTGAGATTCCCAAATTGTTATTATCTAAAATTAATTATTATTAAAACCAAATTTGACAAATAAAATTAAAAAATCAAAATGATTACTAACCAAAGGGCATAATCTACTTTCTACTCTCTGGTCCATTGATCTCAGATCTGTGCAAGATTTCCCATCCAATTTTCTCAATTTTGGCAAAATTGATACTGCAATGTATCTGTCGGCATGCTAAAAGCCAGCATTATTAAATTAAATGATACAGTTAAATTAAACACATCATTCTTGTGAAAGATTTAAATTGTTTTAGAAAGATGTTGGATGGAGTCTTTAGTACACAAACACAAATGTCATACAGTAGAAACTGAACAGCGAGACCATTCACTTAATGAGTTGTTTATGTTAATGTCGTGTAGGTTCAACAGCTCTCAACTTAAAATCTTCTCACCTACCCTGAAATAATTTATTCAAGTCTAACTGTATTGACCATTATTGGGAGAGGCTTCTTTAAATGTGAATTAATTATTTGCAAGTAATTACATATTTTCACTAAACTTTCTATAGCTTATATGGTTTACTGAGAATCTATCATTAAATTTTAAAAATTAGTTTGTTTGATAAAATGTGAAGAACATCCGCCCTTGTAGAATGAAAATCCTAGTGCCATTACTGTTCAACGGTGTCACTCACATTAGCAATGGTTCTGTGTCAATGCATTAGTGTGATCTTAGGGTCAGCACCTCTTTAGTGCCCTGTCAGGATTGACACCACCGTGTTTATCAAAACACGGAAGCCGAGACGGCGGTTAACAATGTCACACCGTTGCGCGAACGGTCCCGTACATGGACATTCAGATTCGTAATGTCAGCCAAATGAGAGACAGCATATAGAACTAACCCAGACTCCAATTAACACTTAATAAGGATTTAATCAAAAATAAATTGGAGAATATACAGAGGGTTTAAGTTTTGTTGCGGAGAGAGAGAGTTCACACAATGAGCGCAAGTTGCATAAATACCTGGTGATGGAAGGGGATCTCCTGATGGAGCTCTCATTGATTGATACAGCAGTTCCTTTGGTGATTTGTTCAAAAATAGTATCCACTAGCACAATATCACAAGGGAAGGTATCCAAATAGGCACTGTTCAATGATGTTCCGGAAGTGATCAGTGATGATTTTCCTTATCGGAGGAACAGACGAGTGACTTTTTTGGCCGTCTCTGGTAATATCCACAGATGATATCAGCCATCCAGAGGTTGAACGATCACAAGAAAGCATCGGGTTGCCTTTGAGAACTACTAACAACAATTGGTAGTAGCTACTAACAACAGTTGTTGCATAACTTGAATAATATTAATATTAAGGTCCAATTTTGATATAGGAAGTTCTGCTACCTCACATCAGTGTTGATCCATTGATGTCATTTGAACTGGCACTATATTAATTCAAATTGGTGTTATATTGATTTATCAGTGTCAAGAAAACACACGTTAATGTTGTGAGAATGCAAAAGCAGAAAACCATTTTATTTTATAATTTATTCATCTTATTTACTACAGTCTTAGATTTCCCACTTGATAAATAATCTCTATGTAATATTTCAGCTATAAAGTAGAACAAAAATCGATGTTTTGTGTGGAAAAGAGAAGTAGAACTTCCCTTAGAAAGTTCTTATCTAATATATCTGACGAACATCTGTCTCTTGCATCAGATGTGTGTCTGGTCAGACAATCAGAATCCTACAATCTGATTGGTGAGAACTGAGAATAAATAGGAGAAAAATTCATGAGTTCGGGGTAGTCAATAGAAACCTGACATTGCCATAATTGATAGCATTCTACAATGAGAAGAACTTGCCATATTAGCCACAGTTCATTACCACAAGGAAGCTGCCATAAGAATGGCAACAGAAAATAGTCCCACATTCGTCTCGCATTTTCCAAGTTTGATCTACTAATGTATTACCATTATTTTTACCAATTGTAAACTCTCTCTCTTATTTATTTTGAGGTGTATCTTAGGTTTAGAGGTTCCATTCACAATAGGTTATATTAAGTGTCTCTAATTATGTATCTCTTTGTTCAATTTTATACATTAAATTCTTTGTTATCATTAACCTGTTGATTCCCTCAGTTATTTCAGTACAGACATTCACCCCACTGAGATCGGAACTTACCCACAACTCCTCCCCACCGAATTTAAGACCCTCCTATATTTTAAGCCATCCATTGACAATCACGACTCAACGATTAGAGGTCAATTTGCCCATCATATTGTCACAATGTTATATTCATTAATGATGTTCATATTAATGATATCTTCATCAATGTCATTCACGTTAGTGTTGTATTAGTTCACTGGCATCATTTGAATTGATGTAGGTTGGCATTGTATGGGTTTGTGTCAGTGTCACTTGACATCAAAGTTGAAAATTTTATAGACTGTTTGACCTAGATACATCAGGCCACAATTGTCACTCCGGATAATCATACTTCTTTCCCCATAAATGGGATAAAACCTACAATGCACCATTTTTGTTATGTGCAGGGCAGAAAGACTTAAACTCTTTCATAAAAACAATGTGTTTAATATACAGAAAATGTATTAATGAACGTGTAAACTAACCATTAAGGGATTTCCAGTTATATGCAATTCTTCCAAATTAGGAAAGTTTTTAAGAAATTGAATGTCGGATATCATATTATCCTCGCATTTTAATTTCACTAATTTACACAAAACAATTCCTTTCAAAGAACGTAATCTATTTCTGGATACATCTAAAGTTTTTAGATTAATTAATGACGTAAACAAAGTAGGATTTAACTCTCCAATATCCAAGTTTGATAAACTGAAAATAATTTAAAAATTTATTTATTGTTCAGCACAACAAGATAGTCCAAGAACACATAATTATCTAACATAATTATAATATGCAAATAATACATAACATCAATAAAATAATAAATTTAATTAAACTAAAGAAGGCACTTTAAGTGAACTACACTCAATCATCATTTTGTTGCCACATTTGAAACAAGAGCAACTGCCATTATCTCCACATGTCAAACCATTTGGTTCATTTCATATTTTCACTAAAACTATGTTCCTCAGAGATTGCGTATACCTCTGAATGAGACATTTGAGACTTTATCAGAGCTGTAGACCATTACCACAGGAACAAAAAAGTCAAAAGAACCATACCTTTACATGTGACCCTTTGCAAGATACAGCTCCCTTAAATCAGCCTACATCTGGGTCGCACACAATCGGGAGTTTGCATTGCTCCACTAAGACTATCACATTTAACTATTTAGCCCATGTGACTATGCCGACTTTGGGTAGCTCACTCGACTGTTTGTGGAGTAGTTGATGTTATATACAGTAATACCCCGGACTTACACGATAGGTGGGACCGAGCGATAACTGCGTAACTCTAATTCGCGTAAGTCGGGGTATAATTTCGCAATTTTGTGTAAAATACAAGTCGGATGTATGCAAGCTAATAAATGTTCTCGTTAATCTTATCTCCTCTTTTGATTCATTCACGGTTACAAGAAATCACCACATAGAGTTTCTCAAGTCTCCTTAGATATAACAAACACAGAAATCAATAACACAAAATAAATTGTAGCTATGCATCGATTCCGCTCAACACGTCCAAACATGTAAGCTGAACAATAGTGTGGGGGGAGTGAGTAATCAAGAGTTGCATGGCACTAAAACAAGACGAATTGACAAGATTTGAAAATCGCGTAACTCCAAGTTTGTGTAAGTCGGGGTAGCGTAAGTCGAGGTTAGGGTTTCTGAAACGGGATCCCGGTTTTTTTAACCCGGGATATTTCCCGGGTTAAAAACCCGGGTTTTTTAACCCAGAATCCCGGTTTTTTTAACCCGGGAAATCCCGCAAATTTCTTAAAAATTCACTTTTTTTCTTATTTTGTGTTAAGGTTGAGGAGTTTTGCAAATAGAAAGCATAATTAACTCATTCACTGCCAGAATACATTTGTATTTATTAATTTTAAACCTACCTATTAGTTTTTTTAAATTTTTGCTCGTTATAGCATGTCACAAATGGTCAATAATCAATATATAGCTTATTTGTGGCATGACTATAAAAATTCTTTACTTGTCGGAACCTGTAATATCTGGAATAATTGTGCTTACGCTGTCTTGAGTTTTAACCATGCCCNATATTTACATTTACAGTAAATGTTAATATAATCATCATAAATCCTAGAGAACAAAATATGAAAACATATGTGATTCTGTGTTGTCATCTTATTTAGCAGTCTTTAAGAGCTCAATATTGGCATTTTCCACAGTAGTTCCAATATCTACTGTTCGGCGTCATTCTCAACGCCTCTCAATATTGATAAATTTCACATAAATTAGTTTATTTTCTACTATCACAAAATAATTTTAATAAATGTCTTTGTTGTTTAACCTTACAAAATCATCTTATTTTTATAATGTTTTAGAGCAAACCACATTCACAAATAGAGAGTCTGCAATGTACTGTAAACATCGCCAAATTGTAAACATATACATTTACAAGTTGTACTGTACGTAGTTTATTTTCTACTATCACAAAATAATTTTAATAACTGTATTTGTTATTTAACCTTACAAAATCATCTTATTTTTATAATGTTTTAGAGCAAACCACATTCACAAATAGAGAGTCCGCAATGTACTGTAAACATCGCCAAATTGTAAACATGTACATTTACAAGTTGTACTGTACGTACTTGAATTCGTAAATTTAGATTACTTTTTTCTGTACTATATTAAAAACTAAAATTTATTTGTTTGAAAGCTTAAAATAGATTCTTATTAACCGTATATTATTAAAAATGCATTTATAAATAAAATACAGAACTGGGAATGGTTATTTGTGGTTTAGCCTAGTGACAAGTAAATTCGACTTAAGTCGCCTCTCCTAGAACAAATTACTGATGTAAGGCCCTCGCCTTACATCGGTAATTTGTTCTAGGAGAGACGACCTATACCTAGGAGAGGTATACCTATAAAAGCAGCCTTAAGAGCCAATTCTCCTCCCTGCAAACAATCTAGCATAGCGGTTCCCAAAGTGTTCGCNCGGGATTTCCCGGGATCCCGGGAAACAGTTCACTTTTATCCCGGGATCCCGGGACAAGCAAAATACCGGGAAATGAGAAACCCTAGTCGAGGTATTACTGTAGTTTTAGGAGGATGTGGGCTCACCCCCACACAGACACCAAGGTGCGAACGATAGCAAGAACCAAAGCACAGAACTGTATGCAGAACATCAGTCAAGGATCATTATTACTCATCATGACTGATACAGAACATGGAGTACACTGGTTCACAGTAAAAACTGATCTTTGGAGGCAAATATCTTGCATACAGGTATACGAGCAAAAAAGTCAACGAAACCATACAGGTATGGTTTCATTGACTTTTTTGCTCGTATAGAAAGATCTATAACCCTGGAGATGGCAAATCCCTCATTCAGAGTTCATGTCTTATCTTAATCACCTACATTCTTCTTAATACAAATAAAAACAGATATTTGCTGTAGTATACATTGGCTGCATTCAGCAGACTCAACAGTTCTGAAGCTGTTGAGTATTTTTCTGCCAAATGTCCTCTACAGCTGTGATGTTTTCGAACATGTTTGTCAGTGGCGTGCCGTCATTAAAAGTGGTGGAAGCACCACTTCCCTTATATTTTCTAAAAAATAAATCCATATTGTGCAATTATTTTCATATTTTAACTTATTTTGAATTAATTAGAATTAATATTTTATTATAACCGCATTATGTATCTTATTACAAATTTCTATACTACATGTGAAAAAAACGATAAGATTGCTATTGTATATGCAAATATAAATTTTTATATGCGTATTCCCAACGGAAGCGCTCTATTGTCGAATATGGGCCAGCTTCCAGGGCGAAAATAGTGTAAAATTTGAATGGTGTAAGCAGCCAGATTAAAGGCATTTGCACATGTGCTTTACAGAGTACCAACATCAGGCTGTTTAGCTGGTGAAAGCTACACACCAAAACGCTTCCAATGATTCTATCAAGCTGGACCAGTTCTGGATTGTTAGCTACCTGCCTGCTAGATATTTGGCTGCCCTTGCTCCATTATGTGAATCACGAGTAGATTTATAACTTAACTCAATTGATAGGTGTTTACTAGTATGTTTTTATGATAATTCTGTATAGTTGACAGGAGTTTTAAAAAAATCCATTAAAATATTTAATATATTTATTCTGACCTCCCATCTTGTAATACTTACAGATTTCAATGTTAAACTAGTAATATTATGATTTAGTATGTCCCATCTATAAGGGGATGCAGAAAAAAACATGTACAATTCTTGTACAATGTTAAAAAATTAACTGTTACTTTGGCAGCATCATTTACAACTAAATTTAATGAATGAGACGCATAAGGTACAAAAAAGCTCTAGAATTTATATTCCTTAAATTTACGATTTGTGTATCCATTGTCGTAAAAATTTGTCTTTCCACTTCTTTCCCAAGACTATAAATATTCAAGTTCGAAGTAACTGGTTTCAACTTATTTCTACTTAACAAGTAGTTAAATAATTAAGAGATTATGGAATTAGGGACATAAATAAAACCCTGCTGAAAGAGCTGGAATTTTACTTAAAAGTTTAACCAAACTAAACCCTAGCCAAGTACAGTGGGGACTGATTTCTTTGTAATATTAAATGTAATAAAGACAGAAATTTTTCCAGTTCAATGTGAGTGACTGAAAAGTTGTCAATTTTGGAAATTTCCATGGATGCCACCTGGTCGTAAAATGAATTAGTTAGAAAGCAAATGGGCAATCTATTAACATTAGAAAATAATATAAAATAAATATTGAAAATTATAACAAGATAGTTACAGCTATATATTATATATTATATCTAAATTAATAGATGTTTTTTATCAAAGCAAGAATTGGCATTTAGAGGGCATAGGGAATCTCTTGAATCTAACAACAGAGGTAATTATATTGAACTTGTTTATTTATTAAGTATGTCAGATAATCTATTAAAAATACATTTAGAGAAGTCTACAGTTTTTACTAGCTTATCAAACAAACAAATACGAATGGACGGACCCTTGAAGGCCTAGAGCCCTAGACCAGTGTTTCTTAACAGGGGGCCGCAGCCCCCTGGGGGTCCATAAGAATTTTACAGGGGCCACCAAATTATGCAAAATTTCCTTCAGAATATAAAAGAAAATTGATGTATAACCGAATATTGTATTGAAAGGTCAAATAAGAAAGATAAAGTTTTCATATTTAGTTTTGTTTTTATTTATTTCTTATTTCTTCCTACATACAACTTTGTTAGTATAGAAGAAATAAATGCAAATATGCTACTTACACCGCAGTATTTACTTCTTTTCTTCCAAAGTAATCCTAAGAAACTATTAACGCTTGGAATTTTAAAAATAATTAGGAAAAATAGTAGGCTTAGTAGTAGGCTTTGAAAATTTAAATGTTTTTGCAAAAGATATGCAAAATCTTTACGACAAGATGTTGGTGTTTTAGTTTTAGCATCGACTTTGAATCAAATAATAGTGCTTTCTTTCTTATATTGTGTGTTTAGTTTTAATTATTTATAATTAACCCATAAAAATGAGCAAAAAACAGAAAGAAACATTAGAAAATTTTTTTAATGTAAGTAATCACAGACCAGGACCTTTAAAAAGAAAATACATTGAAGAAAATACTAGTGAAAGTTCCGATGATGATGTAGTGAAAAATGCAACAGGGCAGTTCCTAGAAGTCCTAAAACTGAAGGTATAAAATTAAGTAACATTAAAATTAGAAAATACAATTGTGATTATATCAAATATAAGTTCATAAAATATCAATTTATTATAGATAATTTAACAAATACAAATTATTACAGTAATACCCCAACTTACGCAATAGGTGGGACCGAGCGATAACCACATAAGTCAGGGTATAATTTCACAATTTGTGTAAAATCCAAGTCGGATGTATGTAAGCTAATAAATGTTCTCGTTAATCTTATCTCGTCTTTTGATTCATTCATGGTTACACAAAATCACCACATAGTGTCTCTCAAGTCTCCATATATATAACAAACACAGAAATAAATAACACAAAATAAATTGTAGCTATGTGTCAATTCTGCGCAACACATCCAAACATGTAAGCTGAACAATAGTGTGGAGGAGTGAGTAATCAAGAGTTGCGTGGCGCTCAAACAAAAGACGAATCGACGAGATTTGAAAATTGCATAACTCCAGGTTCGCGTACATTGAGGTATTATTGTATTAAAAAAATGGGGGTCACAAAAAATTATAAAATATTTGGTGGGTCGTGAGTATAAAAAGGTTAAGAACCACTGCCCTAGACCATCACTGACATGCAATTAATTGATTGCCTCTGGAAGTCAGCTTCTTAGAGAAACACAGCTTCCCTATCATCAAATGTCATGGCATGTCACTGATGTTTGGTATTTTGACATCACACATAGTAGTGTCTTTCATTTATGCTACCTATCACTACCTGAAACTGAGCAACGATGGCTGCATTTCATTCCAACTCATACGTCACTCATCGTTCAGCAGACGTAACTACATAACAGCTACCAATTGAAACACCTTTGCTCAGTTACAACTGTTGACTCTGCCAAATGCAGTCATTGTAAGCAGTTGCGCTTATCCCAAACATTGCGTCCAAATGATGATACACAGGTTTTAAATTTGTTTAAAATTCAGTTAAATTCCTTGTTAATAATTTATAAAATTGCTATTATGTTTTATTTGATGGTCATTAACATACTGAAATTATTAGTCATGTACAGTTCAAAAATACAGGTGATTTTAATCATTCTTAACACTGGAATTAAGTAATTGTCATTGCAATTTGTTTAATTTTACAGAATTTTTTTACAAAAATGACTAAATTTCTTACTTTAAATGTTCCACGTCTTCTAAACATGACTTTTCTGTACGACTTAAGATTAATTTTTCGGTTAACATCGTAATCACATAAATCGAAAAGTAATACACGTGTAGTTTCCTTTTAAAATTTTACCGCCATTTTCTTTTGTGTCGACAGTCAGAAGTGACGTATCTTATTATACCAAATCAGAGATAAGGTACAAATTTGTTAGAAACATAAAACTTTCTGTGATTGGAGAATCGAAGTACATCGTAAAATGCTACGTAACGTAATGACAATGTTGCCAATTTGTGACTTATTTCTCTTCATAAATATCAGAAATAATGAAAATAATTTTGATTATTGTATTAAATTTTATGAAAATATTTGATAAATTTGGCATCAATTAATAATAAACATAAATATTAAAAATATTTGCGTTATGGCGACATCGCTTTCCGTTACATCTCGACGCCGGGATTTTTCATTTAGCGAATATCGCTTAAAGTTGAGAGAAATACATTAATTTCCAAAATTTTAAACAATTTATAACTATGACGTACTCTGCTGCCAATTTTTATGTCTGGTCATTCAAAAAATTAATTAATTGATTGATAATATTAGAATAAATATAAAATTTAGATTATGAGGATGGCTCCAAGGATGTTCTTTCGGGAGGAACTCACCCGAAATACGATCTGCAGCATGAAAAAGAAATGAGAATTTTACGATCACCCAAAAGTATGCAATTTAGTTAGAAATTTCAAAATTTCAAACTTTTATATACGGAAGAATGGCGCAGAAAACGAATAAAAATTATTGAAGTATTTTTTCAATACATAATGATTATAATTAGAGAACATGGAGGATTTGTTTGGTTTATGTTTACGGAAACGCGACACGTGGGCACGATCTGCCGAGGGGGATGCCTCCCGAGAAGACTTTTACGGTAACTGGAGCTTATTTAGAAGTTACAAACATGAAAAAAAAAACACGAAAAACTTCAGCCCGTTGGGGAGGCGCGAACCCACGACAGGTGTTTAGCGCTTTTATCCATTCAGCTACTGGTGGGCATGAACATGGACGGCCATTAAAGTTACCATGGCTTCCCATAAAATCTAAATGTGCCCTAAATCGAAGCAGCTAGTAAGAGGCAATTCCCAATTGCAAGTGCTTTTTAATTGTTCTTCTATTTAAAGATTATTCTATAAATCCAAGAAGCGAATCGTTCCATAAATTCCAATTATCGGATTTTATGGAAAACCTGCCATTCTTTCCATGCAATACGATTAGGAGCAACTTTTAACAAGAATGATTCATGAATTTTTGAGTCTCTTGAATCTTTTTTAAATGAAGAATTTCACTATAATTGCTGTGTTAGAAAATGGGACACTTGTCTGGCAAATAATGCAATCTTATCAATCTCAGAGATGTCTTACATCAGCATTTCTCAAACTTATCGGTCAAGTGGAACCCTTATAAGTTTTTACAACATTCTTTGCTATTATTTCAAATTATCCTAAAAAAAGGTTTTATAATAGTAAAATGTTTAATCAATTATGGATTAGAATGGCATAAAAGCAGCCTTTGGATTTACTTTCAATGTTAACATTTTCAGTACTTAAGCAATTTATTAATTAAATGTATAGAAAAGTTTTAGTAAAGATTCATTTACCACATTTAGATTAAAATTAGATTTCTGATCAGGTATATATCTTGATTCCATAGAGTTAACTCTGTTGTCAGAAAACATTAACGTTTTCTGATTGTATTGCAGATTAATATTCTGTCAACTTTTCTATCTGTGAAATGAACAGAAGAAAAACTTCTATGAGCAAGGTGCCTCAAAAAACATTCGGTTATATAGAATTGTCATTTTTAATAGAAACAGAATGGATAATACACTATAATTAGGGCTACATTATACACTTGTCACCATGGCTCATTTCTTGAAGTACTACAGGGATACAAATATAGATTATTATTGAGCAATGAGATGAGGCTCCTGGCCATAGCTAGGTATGCTTATATATTAATGTAGCCCTGACTATAATGCAATGTTTGTTCACAAGTGAAGGAATCTGGACTTTATAATTGTCAATGTATGCCTCCAGGGAGCTGACAACACATTTATGTTTACTTCTTTTTTAAACATTTTTTCTAGCTAATATGTTACATCTTACAAGCAAGTACTTTAGAGTTTGCTATCTTTAACTTAAAATTCAGATGTCTAATGTAATGTATTGAATCATCTGTATAAGAGCTGGCCATGACAGAAGCCATATATCACCCATCAGAAATGTAAGTGTCACATTTTCTATTGAACGGTATCATATATAACATACAGGAGCCACAGTTTGGCACCTCCGGTCTGTATCAAAATCCACCACCTGACTTATGTCAAATATTACAACTTAAGGTCTATATAATATATTAAGTCTATCAAAATTATATAAGAAATACATCAAAACAACATAACTTTATAAAAATCAAATAGTATATAGAATACGATTTAAACTATATATATGAAACTATGTATGCAAATTAACTAATTTTAAAAACAAAATTTAATTATACTAAACTAACTCTTGTATATCTTTGAATATGCATGTTAAAGTTAATTATTATCAGGCCATCCAGCTCTATACAAAGAAAAAAAAAATTAGTTGTTGTACATCTTTTTTTATAACAGTTATATTCACGATACAATTAACCGTCAAACTATTTGTTAAATGAATCATACCAATAATCATCTCCAATTTAAAAAATAAGACTTGTATTATATAAGATTAAAGTAATACATGAAATCATTAAACTTGTTTTAATTTTAGTAATAGATGAATATATCAAATGATACAGCGAAGTCAGAACTTTCCAACAACTCTACAGGCCAGAAACAAAGCTTAGCTTTTGGACTTTTCCTTGTCTTTTTTGGCCGCTTCGACCTTCGCTTCCTCTCTCTCGTGCTTCTGAATCAGCATCTCCACCTCTTTAGTGGACAGAATCTTTATCTTCGTCTTCTTATCTCTGGTCAGCGTGGCCATTTCCAGCTTATCCGCAGTCAGTCTGGTCATATCCAGAGTCTTGCTCAGTACCTTGATGGCGAGAAGCAGAGCGTCGTTTAGAGTGGTGGCTCCGTCCTTGTACTCCTGTTTCAGAATCGATATGGCCGCCGCGCTGTTGTTTCCGATGCAGGTGGCCTTCCATCCGCCGTAGTTGCCGCTGGGATCCGACTGGTACAACTGGAAACCGTAGTGCTTATCCCAACCCATATACAGGATGGATACGCCGAAAGGCCTCTTTCCGCCGTACTGAGTGTAAGCCTGTTTCATGTCGCACAGCCAGCTGACCAGGCGTTCGCAGGGGATTGATTCTCCGTACTGAATCAGGTATCGCTGGGCAATTTGTCTCAACTCATTTGTTAACACGTTAGCATCCGAAGTGATTCCAGCCACGCTGCATGCCAAATCGTCGTGAATCTTGTAGATTTTCTCTGCAGAGAACACTTCGTCTAAGAGCTTATTGGTGTTCTTCCTTTCAGCAGCAAGAACTATTCCATCAGAAGCCAAGATTCCCAGAGATGTCCCTGCGTGACCGATCGCTTCCATAGCATACTCCACCTGATATAATCGTCCTTCTGGCGAAAATATAGTCGTTCTCGAATCGTATCGGCGCGCCATTACTTATTAATTCAACAATACAATCAACACAACTTAACTTTAAACTGCTGATTCACAAACAAGATGCCGCACTATTCAGTGTTGCCAGATCGGAAACGGTGAATCAACAATATTTCTTTTTTTTTTTAAAAAAAACTGTTTAAATTTATTAATTATAAAAAATAATGCAGAAATATTTTATAAACTTGTAATAATTTAATACAATTCTTAAATTTCGTTACGTATATTTTTAAATAGGAATATTACCGGCGTGTGATTCGGATTCGAATTTCGATCCAGATTCGAATGACCGGAGTTGTGTTTTATCAAAATTTTCACATTAATATCAGTGTTAGGCTTGTTATTTAGTTTTCTTTAACTTATAAGCGTTAAATGTACAGTAATACCCCGACTTACGCTACCCCGACTTACGCGAATCCGGAGTTACGCGATTTTCAAATCTCGTCGATTCGTCTTTTGTTTGAGCGCCACGCAACTCTTAATTACTCATTTCCCCCCACACTATTGTTCGGCTTACATGTTCGGACGTGTTCGACATATAGCTACAATTTATTTTGTGTTATTTGTATGTATTTATATGCAAAATTATACCCCAACTTACGCGAATTCGACTTACGTGGTTATCGCTCGGTTCCACCTATCGCGTAAGTTCGGGGTATTACTGTACAGGATAGTCACTGTGCTAGTGTAGTATGTTAGATGTAAATTAACAATGTAAAGAATTACACAATGTCTGACAGAGAGTCAATGTAGTATAATAGAAGTGATAACAGCCCGGTTGTCTGTTATTACTAGGATTTACGTAGAATATTAGTGATTTCAGGACTAGGGCGTCGGCCGGATGGCCGCGGAAGCTTAGTTTCGGATACGACTGACTGAAATTTTCACCAGGACTGGTGGTCTCCGGTACTTCAACTGAGAATGAGGATGCTACCCTATCAGAATTCTGCATTTTTTTTTTTTTTTTGTGTGATGGCTACTGGACCCTGTTGAAAAAGCAGCGACTGATTTTGTAGTTAGTCAGATGGACGGGGTCCCGGATAGGTCGGTCTACGCCTTCAACTTCCGGTCGACCCCAATACAACGGTCCTTTCAGACTTCGGTGCTGGTGATTTCACTACTACATCCAACAGCGCTAAAACAAATAATAATACATATGCTAATTCGTTACAACTGTACTAGGCGCATACTAATAAACAAACCAAAATTACAACCAATTTTCCTTTAATTATTTTTACAATATTTCTTTTTTTCGAAATGTATTTAATTGATTTTATTTTAGCAACACCTCTTTTTTTTTCATATAGCAATTTTCCTAAGTCTCAGATTGCATTACAGTATTAAAAATTCTGAGGAAGTTGCAGCTCTCACAGTACTCAAAATTTTTGTTTAGATCCTCAGTTACACAGGTGACACATTGTAAAAATTTGACTATTACTTTTATATCGATTTTGTTTTCGACACTGTTTCACATAAAATCACGTAGTTAATTAACAATTAACTTTATTCACTCTCGGATACAACTGACAGGGATGACAACTACACAAGAAGTCTCTCAGACAAACGAAAGTATGTAGGAATTTCCACCTTTGACTTGACACTCAGATCAAGTTATAACAGATCAGTTACAACAGATCTTCCCCCTCTAAAAACGAAGTCTCGGAGATGTGCAGGTAGGGTCCATGTTCTAGAGCTCCTTCTAACCGGTGGTCCTGATGTTGATTATTCTGGGGAGCTGGATGTTGCCTGTTCTGGAGTGGTTGTTCTCTTCGAGCTATCAGTTGATCAATATGTCTCCTTTCTATAGTTTCCTTCTGGTGAAGCTATCACGTATGTGACATATGTATATAGTCCGGTCTTCCATGTCACCTTCCCTAGTTTCCACTTCTTTGCGTCTCTATAGCACCTGTAATTAATGTTGTCTCCTATCTGGAATTCTCGTATTCTTGTTTCCTCTTTTCTATCCTTATGTAAGTGTAGATTTAATCGATTATAGATGGTGCGTAGTCTTCTTCCCATCAACAGTTCTGCTGCCGTTTTTCCTGTAGTGCTACTAAACAAAAGTCTGGGATCAACACCTCACTTTTTTCTTGATTTTGATGTAATTTTTCGATTCTTCTCTTTATAGCTTGCACCTATCTCTCTACTTGTCCGTTGGAAGAGGGATGATATAAAGGGGTAAATATGTGCTGTATCCCATTTTTTCGTATATATTCTTCCATTTCTTGGGATTTAAAGCTTTGATGATAGTCTGATACAATTGTATTTGGTAGTCCATGTGTACTAAATATTCTTCTCAATAATTTCACGGTTTCCTGAGTTGACTGCGTTTGTACCTCTTCTACCTCCACCCATTTCGAATAAGCATCCACTAGAATAAAATATGTAGGGGAAATACGTACAAAATGATATACGGTTTTATTTTAGGTTCATGACTCTTTATTGGTAAATCACAGCACTGTCATATTCTACACCAATTATCTTTGGTTCTTTACCTATGAAATATAATAAACATTTATAATATAAAAATAATAGAAAAAACAATATTGTTAGTTTAATCGAGATCAGCCAAAATCCATTTTGTCTATATGCTATGGACAAAGTGGCATATTACGTAAGGACAAAATTACATACACGTAAAAACTATAAAATTACTGACAAAGTTCACAAATGAAACGCTCGGTTCTTTTAGAAATGTCAGCGCAAGAAGCGTGAGCCCAATGCAAACAATTTAAGCACCGTAACCAGTCTTTTCCAGGCTTAGATTGGCAAAAAAGATCATTGCAATATATGCATGGACAGTCCTCTTCATCATCTTCAGAGTTATCAGGAAAATTTTCTTCTTCGCCGTTTTCTTCAAGTAACTTTTTAGTAACGTTTCGTCTCCTTTTCTCTGGCGGAACTTTGGGCTCATTTTTTGATTTAATTGCCTTCATATTAGGAGTAGAAGTTTAAAACTAAAGAGGTTTGTCGAGTCTTTGGCTTACGTTTTCCTCGACCACTTATAAAACGTCCTTTTGGGACTGGAGAAATCTCCTCGATAGACACAGCAAGAGTAGAGGACGAGGGATGTTCATTAGTAGCAGCAGGTGAATGATATTGAATTGAATGAGTTAAAAAAAGTTCTTGCTCAGTGTTTGCTGATGGAACCTGAGATGAATTATCGGCTTGTTGTTCGGTAGGTACTGTTATTTCAGCTGTATTATTGTCGTTAGGTGTGACAGCACGGGAGCTACAGAGATCTCGTGCTGTCAAACTTACCATCTATACCAGGCACGGCCCGTATAATGAATTTATGTGGCCCGCGATTAATCTTTCAATATTAGCTACTGAAGTCCGAATAGCTCGATGAAAAATTCTGACGCCTAAAAAAAAAGAAAAAGAAAAAAAGTCAACAACTCACTGTGCGTTTAGAGTTAACCCTGCATTACAAATCTACAGCGTAGAATGTTGATAAAGCATGATAATGTGAAAAATGTATCTGTAATCTCTATGTACAATTTAGTCTGTACGGGGTGACACCACAATGAGATCTCGCACCACGTCAAAATCTTCCTAGGGCAGCCTCTGGTTCGCCCCGTGAAAAAAAGTTTTCTTTCCAATTCGGCCCGGGGACAAAAACTGTTGGCCACCCCTGATCTATACAAAAAATTTGTTGCAAGGAAAAAAACTCGTAACGTATCATTTCTTGTCGTCGGCCATGACACTCGGGCGAATGAGAGGAGTACGTTAACGTTTTCACAGGTTAGTAAAAGTCGCTCGGATAACGTGATGTCGTGGTCAGTTGCGCGCTTGAGACCGCCAAATTCGAACTATGTTGCCCATGTCATTTTGTACGTATTTCCCCTACGTCCATAGTGTGGTCCTGCATGATCAATGTGTACTCGGTTTGACCTCTGTTCTTGGCATTTTATACACATGGATACCGTCTCTTCAATTTGGGAGTTCATTTCAGGCCATCAAAAATAGCTCTTGGCTGTTCTTTTCGTTCTAGACATGCCCTTATGTGTGGAGTGTAATATGTGTAATAGCTGTGGTTGCAAGGTTCTAGGGATGGCTACTCTTTGTCTCCATAAAATGTAACCACATTGAATTGAAAATTCTAGCAAAAGGCATAAGTTCTTCTGGACTACTAAGTGGCCATCCGTGTAAGATTGCATGTTCAACTCTTTTTAACACTGAGTCAGTGTTTGTCTCTCTGCTTACTTCCTGAGATGTGATGGGCAATTCTGACTGTTCAAATATAAGGAATATCTCTCCTGGTTCAGGGATAGTCTTGCCTTCCACAGTAGTTGGTATACGAGATAATACATCAACATTAGTCATCTCTGCTGATCGACGATGATCAATCTTATATGAGTATGCTGCTAATCTCAAACACCAACGGATCATTCTGGGTGAGATTAAATCAGGAATTGGTTTAGCAGAGTTCAGAAGGCCCACAACTGGCTTACAATTCGTATATATAGTAAAATTTCGGATAGCTAGGTAATTATGAAATTTTGTGATGCCAAACATTATAGTTAATACTTCTCTCTCGAATTGTGAATAATTTCTTTCTGCTGGATGAAGTGTCCTCGATGCAAAGTATATAGGAGCTTCTGATCAATCTGGTAATATGTGTAAAAGTACTGTTCCAACTCCATATGGTGAAGTATCACACGACAACAATACTGGTTTATTTAAATCATAATGGATTAATAATGTTTTTGGTGTTAGCATCTTTTTTTTATTTTCACGAATGCTTTGCTGTGTTCTTTTTTTCCAGATCCATGGTTTGTTCTTGTCTAGGAGTCTATATAATGGTTCTTTGGCAGCTTTGGTTGCTTTATCTTTCAAAAATCTATCATAGAAGTTTACAAATCCCAAAAATGCCCGTAACTCTTGTTTTTTTCGGGTCCTGAACCTGTTGGATCACTAAAATTTTATCCAGTGTGGGTCGAATGCCCTGAGCATCTATCAAATATCCTAAAAATTTGAGTTGATTTGTCTTGAATAGGAATTTGCTTTTGTTCAGTTTTAGTCCAGCTTCTGAAATCCGGTTAAGAATTTTCTTCAACTTTTGATGTAGAGCTTCATCATTTGGTCCCATGACAAGTATATCATCTATTATCACAACTGTCCCTGGAATACCTCATACGATCTTTTCCATCTCTCTCTGGCAAATAGCTGGACAACTACTTCACTCCAAATGGTAATCTTTTCATTCTATATAAACCTTTGTTGATAGTCAGTATCTCAGACGACTCTTGATCCACAGAAAATTGGAAGTACGCTTCCTAGAAATCAAGCTTGGCAAATATCTTTCCACCAGATAATGAAGCAAGTATATCGTTAATTAATAGCCGGCAATGGGTACCATCTACTTTTATTGCCTCTCTGTTTACAGTGCAGCGGTAATCTCCACATAAACGTACACTTCCATCTGGTTTTGCAATGGGTACGACAGGAGTGGACCACTTAGAAGTTCTAACTGGTTCTATAACTCTTAACTGATGAAGTCGATTCAACTCTTGTTCTACCTTTGTTCTCAATGTAAAAGCAACCTGTCTTGCCCGCATAAAAATAGGCTTAGCTTCTTTATTTATCGCTAAACTGACTGTCTCGCCTCTAAATAGACCCATTTCTGAATTATTAAATAAATGCTGGAATTCTTGTATCAGATAGTCTGCACCATGATGGTGATAGAGTCCCTCTATTCTGATTCCTAATGATTCAAACCAATTTCTTCCAACAGGTTCTGGTCCATTTCCTTTAATCACTAACAATGGCAGATTCATAACTTTTCCTCACTATTTTAGTGCCCACCATCTCCAGATTCTGATCCACCCATGTTTGTAATTTGACTTCTTCTGGTTCTAACTTGTCTCGCTACATTTTAATTTCTTTTAAGGCCCGTTCGCTCATTACAGTGTACCCAGCCCCCTGAATCAATTTCCATTATGACTAGTATATTTTCAATATTGATTAAGGGTGGTATCCTACTTCCACATATTTTGAATAAAAATGTATATTCCTCTACTGGTTCGATGTCAAATTTTTATGTTTGACACTCCGGCTGGATACCTCTTTCCGATGTGCCCCAATTTGGTTTCTTCCCTGGTTTGGAATTTTTCTTCTTCCACTCTTTCGTTTGGTGATACGTGCTTTTTCTATGTGCCCTTTGTTTCCGCAGAATTTACAGCTTGTCTGAGCAAATTGGCAATTATTCGGTTTATGATTCCTGGTACACCGAAAACAACGTAATATGGCTGGCTCATTATTTCTCTTGTAGTCAGCCTTTAAGTTATACACTTGGGTATTGTTTCCATCTGACCCAAGCTGGCTAACATCTTTAGATGTGCCTCTGCTGCATCCAAAATGGCCTTATAGGTAGTGTCCGTTTTTGCCAATAACACGTGTATTCCTTTATCCCTTAAACCACTTAGCCACTAGCCTAATCGATTTTGTTTTCGACACTGTTTCACATAAAAACACGTAATTAATTAACAATTAACTTTATTCACTCTCAGATACAACTGACTGGGATGACAACTATACAAGAACTCTCTCAGACAAACGAAAGTATGTAGGAATTTCCACCTTTGACTTAACACTCAGATCAAGTTACAACAGATCAGTTACTACAATTACAGTTATTTGCAGGTGTACCATGAACACAATTAAATACAGTAAAACTATTTAAAAAACAAGGAGCAAAAAATGATTTGAAACATGTTCTAGAAAATGACAAAAGTAAAGGTCCACCTACCGCTGACTTGATAAAACTACTGAATGTTGGTAGTTGGTCGCAAATTCGTACCTTGCCAACAAACTGTCTATGTTTTCAGGTTTTCTTCACTTTTCACATCTAAATATGGGCCAATTTTCCATAGTCTTTCCGGGAGGCATCCCTCCTTGGCAGATTGCCCATGTGTCCCATTGCCATAAAAAAACCAAATACAACCAGGGCTGGACCAAGAATTTTTCGCACCCTAGGTGATTACTCAATTCATCTGCAAGCAACCCATGTTCTCACTTTGTATCACATTCATTTAGCATACCAAACATTTTAAACAAATGGTACTAAGTAAATGTATATCAGGTTAAGTTTTCATCTTGTGTCAACAAATAGACATTGTTAACTACATCATCTGTAGTTATCATACCTCCATACTTTAAAATTTTCTTTTGTTAATGTCATTGTATGTTTCAAATTTGATACACAAGCTGTTAGCTGAGCTTATTGGCAAAAAATAGTTTTGCATTACGAACGAACTACTTTATTTGCACACAATGTTTCAGATTTTTTTTGAATTTTTGCGTTTCTGAACCTCACTTGTAAATAAAATAGCCTAAATTCAATGGCAAGATGGCTAAGACAGTAAAAGAACATGCTATTCTGAACAATCCAGATTCGAGTCCAGATCGGGTTCTTGGAAATTCTTGTGGGTAGTCCTTTTTTTTAAACTCTCTCCATCCTCAGGCACTAAGACGGACTGTTTCCATGCACATAGTGAAATGGATTTAGTCAGACCCCTAATAGGGTAGCTGAGTATGAAAGATGGAGTTCAACAGTCCAGAACAACTTGTGAACTGACTGGAATTCAAACCTGAGTTTTCCAGAGTGGAAAACATTTACTGCACTCAACAGTAACTAAATGAATCAACCACTGAACAATGGTTTCAGCCTGACAAATAAAGTTTACTGGGTTTTCTTCACATGAGTAACACCTAAATATAGGCCAATTTCTCAGAGAATTCCTTCCAAAAAGCATCTCTCCTTGACAGATCACTGTCATTTTGCATTGCCTTATCCTATCAAACTAACCATTTGTTTATTACCTCATTTAACTGTCTTCATAGGTCTGCCTTAGGTATGTTAGACCTATCCTTCATCCCACTGCTTCCCTCTTATATGCTGGGTCAAACTGATGATGGGCATCGATAAAGATATTCTTAATGCTTATGGGACAGGAAAAAAAAAATTAAATTTGAATTAATGTAGTTTATTTTATCTCTATTATGTTCTACATTCTTCTATTCTGTACAATTTGTATTTTTGTATGCTTTGTATGGTCATAATAGGTATTTTCTAGGAAAATCAAACAGCTTTGCAGCATAGAAAATTAGAACTGTGTAAAAAAAGGGATTTAAAAGTGATCTAAATCTAAAATAAAAACTTTTTGTAGAGATCAATATAACTTAACAGCAATTGAAAACTCAATTGACATGTAGCATGCAACCAGTGTACAATTGGCCCATAGAATTTACATGACAAACTTTGACTTTGAAAATCTCTGCCCATAAATTGAATTTCAAAATTCCAGCTTTGTCATGACACTGGCCTTGATGAGTTGTACATATTTGCAAAAGATTGTGTTTGGTTAGTTAGTTTGTTTAGTTATGGCAACGCAACACTTGGGCGATCTGCCTAGGGGATGCCTTCTGGGAGGTCTTTTTAAGGGAAACTGGCCCCTATTTATCCATTACAGACATGAAGAAAACCCGGAAAACTCCACGTGGCCAGCCTGTCCAAGCGAGGCGCGAACCCACCTCCGAACTCCCAGTGTTCAGCGTACGAAGACTGCTTAGCCACTGGTGGGCGATTGTGTTTAGTAGTCATGCAATTGCTTTAAACTTTGATCAAAGACAAAACACTTTCTAACTTATGTAGAACTCTGTTGAATTTAATGAAAAAGATTTTTACTTCCAGAAAAAGTAGTTCTCCTTTATTTATGTATCAATATAAAGCAAATTTTATTAAGTTCTATTTAAAAGAATGACTCAAACAATAGAAAATAAAAATTTTTATTGCCCAATTAAAATAAAAAAAAAAACAAATTAGTATTTATCAATACATAAAAATTAGCTACAAAATAAAAATTTCTAATACAATAAATTAAATATCTGTAAACACAACCATAAACAATATATTAATTTCATTTAGCAATTAATTACAATTATTACGTATAAAATTAGTACAAACAAAACCGAGTTTATGGAGTACTTCAAAATAACAAAATATATAATTTTTATATATTTAAAAAATAATAAAGATTTATCAAATAATAATAATTTTATTATCATTTTATATAGAGTAAAGAAATCATAACATTAATATAAAATTGTAAAAATGTCACTAAATTACGAGAGTGGATCAATAAATAATCAGCCGTGTTGGTTATTTATTGATCCACTCTTATAAAAATCCATATTTTGGCATTAAAAATGTGTGTTATCCATTCTATCCTGCATTGGACTAGTTAACTGAATAAACAAATGGTTTTGAAACCATTCTACTTGAAAATGTCTACTTGTTAACTGAGGATGGAGCACATTCATTCTAAATTTGTATGCTATTCTATCTGCGTAGAAGATGACTATTAATATATCAAGCATTAAAAACTAAGGCAATTTTATTCTCTTCTGAAATTTTTATTAAATATGTCCAAAAGAGAATCTGATAATTTACATTATTTACTTTTATATATAAATGTGAATCAATAAATAACCAGCTGAAAGCAACAGAGTGGATAGTTGCCCCAGACGTTTATTTATTGACCCATCCTTATGTGAATATCTGAGGCATGTCCAAAATCTGATGCTATCTCTTGACGTATTTTAAGCATACCGCAGGTACACCATTGATTTTATAACAACCCAGATTGATAAAGGTCATGTAACAATATACATTTGGTCATTAATTATGCTCGTCCTGTTTCTCTAGCATACAAACTGCTAGATACATTCTGTATTGCGAAAAATTAAAAGTATATATTTGTGTTATTAAGTAACATATTCTTAACAACATTTCTGAAATAAATTTAAGCAATTTTTCAGTTTATAAGAGAATTTTTTCATAGTGGCTTGCATACTTAATCTGTTACAGAAAGTGTGCGTTATGTGCAATATGATTTATGAGTGACTGTAAATTGTATTGGAGTTTCAGGAATTTCCATATTTCTTGTAGATTTAGTCCAGATTGAAGAAAGTGCCACGATGATCAGTTGCCAGATAATCAGTGGTGGACCCATACTTAAAATTTCTGCCAAAAGATTCTAATTTTTAAACAAAAACAAAATTTTGATGGTCGGAGTCTTAATTTCATCTCACTTTCGTCAAAATTTGTCAGAAATCTGTATAGAAAAACTGTAAAGTGAATAAACTCTTAAAGGGAGGAGTCTGTTTTCGGTAACGATATAATGTTAGCCTTGTAAAATCCGAAAAACTGATTGTTCAAACCAATTTTAAAGCAACTCATCTTTAAAATTTTTACTTTAGCAAAAACGTCAAACGAATAGTCGATCTTTGCTAAAAATATGAATATCGAATAATTTTAATACAAAAAATTTATAAATTACATAATGCACATTCATTTAGTAGTTAAAATGATTGTTTGATCTAATTGTGTGATGTGAAAAGCAAACAACAGATTATAATACAACTGAATTAAGTGCTGAACCTTTAACAATGAAAAACATTGGTGAAACAATAATATTTAAATTTTATCCCAGCTAACAACCCATTCTCAGTCAAGGACAGATAAAAATTGAATGATTCCACTTTTATATGTCCACGTGCAAAGACGGTCCTTTAAATTACAAAATTCTATTGTGTATTTTAAATTTCATTCTTTTTAATGTTCTATTTTATAAGTTTATTAGATTCGAAATATTTCAAATCTAAATTCTATCTTAACAAAAAAGAGGGAGAATTTAGCAACAGAAAGGACATCTGCCAAATAAGTAGACTAGAAATAATAAATGCTAATGGAGGAGGGTCTGATACAAACTGTAAATTTTAAGAACAGCATCATGCAACAGGGGCCTGTGTGTATATTTTAAATATTCTTACTTTCTATAAAAGCTTATAACAAAGTGTTTAAAATTTACTGAAATTTTCAGTTTTATAAAGAGATTGTCATAATTTTCTATTACATTTTTACAATGTTCAAACAAAGTATATTGCAATTATTCTGTGAGTTACTATCACTGTCACAATACTTTAATTTTGTATTGAAAGTATCAAAAATATCACAGTAAATATGAATTATGAGCTGCACAGATTTCAGATTCAACTACTGATACTTGTTTATGTGAAAAAATTTCTTACTATCTAAACCAGGAATTGTAACTTATAAACCAAAACAATGACCTTAATATTCTATGCAAAATGCCAATATAAGTTTCATGTCCCATCCAATAACCTCAAATAAAAGAAATTATATACAAGTCTTGAGAGGACTGCATATCTTTATCATTTACAGACATTGACTGCTTGCTAACAAAGCATACTTTCTTTCATCTGTGCATTTTGCATCTTACTATAACATCAATATATCATCACACTGAAGATTGCTACTACTGGCCAAAACTTCATCACAAATGTTTTAATAATTCAGGCCTTTTCTTATTTGAAGGTCGCCTTATTTACCAAATTATACTGTATATTATTACTGCATATTGTCTCAAAATGTTACCTATACCATAACAAAATTTAAACTGATTGATTTTTAAGGTTTCAGCATACTATTAGCTATACAACTTGCATCCATTATAAGTGAAACTACAATTAGGCAACATAAATGAGAGATAAGGAATAATGTTCAGATCCATGTTGCTTATAAATAAGTCAAGGATATGGATTAGATTCAAGCCAATAGTCATGAAATATGTAAAGTCACGATTATTCGGTTAACACGATAAAAGTTAGAAAGAAAACCAATTCTTTTTAACTCTTTCTGTTCTGCGAACACTAAAAGGGCCTCTTTTTAGCAAGTTCATTATGGATTATGAATTTGGTCAGGCTGCGAGGGATGAGATTCAATATGAGATGGCTGCCACCTTAATTTAACTGCTTGGCCATTTGACTGTCAAAAAATGCAAGATTGGATTAAAAAAAAAAACCTTTGTGTTTGCATGTATTATGGTTCCCTAAAGAGAAAATCATTTGTGTAATTTTAATACTGTAGTAACAAATGTACTACTACATTTCTATTTCCAGGAACATGGCCTTAATTTATAAGTCTAATCTTACAAAAAAGTTAACAGCTTGCTTAACAATGATTTTCCATAAAGTAATTGTGCTATAAATGCAAGGATTTACTGTATTCAGGGATGTAGCCAGAAATGAGTGTGGGGTAGCTGGACAGACCTGCCAGAGGATCAATGAAATATCTTATTCATTTGATTGGAGGAATGTAGTTCCATCACAAGTAACAAACATTATAAGCAAAATGCTATTGTCTTCTGTAAGTTGATAATCCAGAAATATGATAACTGGGGCAAGAGGCATTTTATTTGTGAAGAAGAAAGATGGAATCAGAGAACTTGGATGGTTTAGTGCAGTGGTCCCCAACCCCCGGGCCGCGGACCGGTACCGGTCCGTTGGATCAAATGGTACTGGGCCGCCCAAGGAACATTAAATTATTTCCATTTTATTATGGTGTATTTCCTCGGGTTTGTGCGACTTTTAATGGACGACGGAACAACGGAATAAACTGGACATAAGAAACACACTTCGGGTGTCATTGTTTCCTATTACCTTCAGATGGAACCGTCTCGTTGCAAAGAAACAAGCTCAGGGTTCGCATTGATTTAGCGTTCTAGTGAGTTAAAATGTTAAATCACGTTATATTCATTTTTTTGGTGTAATTGTATTTTATTTTGAAGGCATGTTTAAATACAATTAAATTAAAATTATTAAATTAAATCAATCTAAAATATAAACAATCATCGTCCCCCCTCAGTTGGCCGTGGTAAAATTATCAAACGTTAACCGGTCCGCGGCGATAAAAAGGTTGGGGACCGTTGGTTTAGTGTGTAAAATTTCCTACCACGAAACTCACGGGGCTACATTTCTGTGTATTGTTGTAAAGTTTAAGTGTAATGTTAAAGTTTAAGTGCTAGTTACATTATTTTAGAAAGCTTACAAACATCCAATCTTTATGAAATTATACATATTTAAACAAATGTCTTAAGAAATTTTTATTTATTCTACTTTAAGCAGAAATGATTCAAGTGGAAAATAAGGAAAAAAACAATCAAAATCTAATTTTTAAGTATATGCTTTTGAAGTGAGACGAAAATCATTTTTAAAATGCCTAATAAACTTATTATTATATACTAAAACAATAGTATTTATAGCTTCTTATTTTATATATCATTGAGTTAATGCACTTAAGCTAAGAATTACAAATAATGCATAAAATCATCTAATGACAGACTCAATATAATTAAACAAACTTTTTGATACTGATGAAGTGATTTGGCAGATTTCTGCCATAAAAATGATATGTCATTCTGCTTTCATACTGATAAAAAAAAAAATATCACTGAAATTCTAGCTATGGATGTAAGCAATGAAATAATACTTATGTTATAATTAACTTCATTGCTAAAGGAGTCTTATATTCAATAATGGATAAATACTAGATGATCAGACGAAAGTAGATTTCATAAGATAGCATAAGAAGTTTGGCAATACTGAAAATTAGACTTGACAATGCCCAGTGTCCACTGTGTTTGCTGCACTGCCAAATCATGGTATTGCCAAGTCTGACTCAGCATCACTTTCTCAGAGTTCTACTTTGATCTCTCCATATTAATGAGAGTTTTCATCCGCAAAAGGATCCATAGCCAAGAGATTTATGAAGAATCCGAAGCCAAGAAGACTCAAAAACATTTGTCTGTTACGTATCTAAGACTTCTTTAGCCAAGAAGATGGTTATAACGTTTAATAGCAAGGAGTTTTAATAAAGTACTATTAAAAATTCATCATTAAAATGTCTAATTTTCATATGTGTATCTATTTTAATACTTTATAAAAATGGTACCTTTGATGGTAATCAAAAATTTGTACCTTGATTTTGTATCACATGGAATAAAAAATTATATCAAAAATCAGGACGATGATTAAATTTTTCATGTTTATTATTACAGCTAAAAATTTTGTTTCGTAAATAAATTAATTCACAATTTAGGAGTGAATATCGTACCGAATATGATGAACTTATTAACTGATACAACTGTAATTTTGCTATAAACAATACTTAAAACGTCAATTTGTACTTATTCTATATTCGGTAAATACTATTATGAAGTATATTGCATATGTGTATAGAATACCCCAAAAGTCAGTTAACTTTATATGTTATTTTTTCAATTCTAGTACACTTGTGAATACAAATCAAACTGAAATTAAAACGTACTTTTCTTATATAAAATGGTAAAAAAAAAATTTAGTCAAGTATTTGAATAAGATTTAGTGTTTAAGCAGTTAACTGATATTTGGGCCATCCTTTATATATATAATAGACTTTTTAAGTCTCACATAACTTATAAAATATTGACATTTACCAAACTTTTGTTTTTTAACTTAACAAATAACCAAGTGTTGGAAATTAATTCAGTGAATTATATCAATTTTGAAAAAATTTCACTTAATATTAACTCTCTTGTTAATGATTTTATAAATTATACCAGAAAAAAATTTACTGTACAAGACATTTTAGTGTTTTAATCAGGTTCTGGAAAGTAATTCGGACAAAGAATGTTGAAAAGAATGCCGAGTAAAATCAGTAGGCAAAACAGACCCAACATTACCCAACCTAATATTTTTTCCCACTTGTATACTCTAATATTGCGAAGTACGACAAGACCGACGAGAAGACCGCCCAAGGCGCCTGTAAGATGTGCCGCGTAACTTGTTTGATGATGATCGCCCTGTGCGTAGCGACCGTATATTGCTGCTCCTATGTCAGTTGCAGCAAAAACAAACAGAACTACTAATCTCAACCAACCAAATTCCATTTCTTTAAAATTCTACATGGAAAAAAATTAATGTTATAAATTTATGTTAAATTTATTTTCACTCTAACTATTTTGAATTCCGTAACTTACAATAATCACGTTAGCTAGATGTGCTGCTATTAATGCATAGACACCTCCAGAGGCACCTGCCAAAAATGTATTTGGATCTGTAATTGATGATCCAAGGGATCCTAAAGAGAAGAAATCATTAGTAGAAATATAATAATTTTATAGTTAAGATGTGGAAACCTAGTCATAATTACCTAGTAATTTTGAAGTTTCTGCATTATCACATAATACAGAAACTTCAGTATTACTTGAAAAACATGCAACACGAGTGCGACGTTTAAACATACAACACAACATGAATCTTCTATTGAAGGCTCAGGTTGTACTGTACATTCAAATGTATCTCATTGCAAATAAGCAGATAAAACACTAGCAACCACTGTGCTTATTCCATAAAAAGTTTGCTAAAATTGTTAAAAATGGAAATGGATATAACATTATATGAAATATTCTTTCTTATAATCCTGAGATTAGTGACTTTTATCATGTCTCTTCTCTGACTAGCCATACTGAACAGAGAGCAAGACTTCTAATCAACTCTTATTGCCTTTATTTAGAATTGAGCATTTTGAATTGAGATAATTTTTCAATCCCTTCTCAGGATACATTAATAACTCTTTCTAAAAAATTAAACCATGATTTAACAAAAGACAAACCTCACCCCACTTCCCTGAACCTGTTACTGGCGTGTATCGTGTATAAGAGATCCCGTCGAATTCCACATGCACCATTCGGAAGCATCCCTAAGCTAGTTGACCTGAGGAAGAACTGCAAGATAGTTTGAAAACATTTGTCACCCTCTGTATATTTCTTATACGCATTACATGCCAGTAACAGATTTAGGGAAGTGAGGATTTTGTTCTGGTGCTGAAGTTAGAGTGAACTTTGTGACAAACCTCACAATACACGAATCCAATAGTTTTGATATCTTGCTATTCTACTTTGCATTTACCGTAACTCTTATGGTTTATGATGACATCATCAATCTCCATTCCATTATTTAAATTAACACTAATATTACAAAAAATTATTGTGACATGTTCTTTAAATCTTCTCAAATATAAATCTTTTTCTCTATGAAAGATTTTTCCATCATGCTTCAAATGGTCTTTCAGTCTCTCCTATATTATATACTTTTTCTTTACAAGTACAATTTAATCTGTAAACCACTGCTGGAATATTTAGTTTATTTATATTTTCTGAATTATCATCACATTTTATATTTAATTAATTTTGTACCTAATACTAAATTTTTTAAAAAGAGATATATTAATGTATCCTTTTTTTAAAATTTATAACCTGAAGAGGGATTGAAAAAAGTTATCTCAATCTGAAATGCATTGCTAAATAAAAATAATAAAGGAGTTGATTAGAGGTCTTTGTCTCTGTTAAATACAAATAATTGGAAAAGAGACATGATAAAAAAAAAGTCACTAGTCTCGGGATTATAAGAAAGAATATTGTATACAACATGCTTGTGTGCGCATATTATCAAACATTCCATGTGAGCATCTCATTGCTTTCAGATATCAAAATTTCAATACTACTGAATGTAAAGACTGATTAACGTGATCTTGAAAAACTTAACTAACAAAATTTCTTTTAATTGATATATTAATTAAAATCTTTAGGGAAAATATTCATAATGTCTCAATCGAACTAATTTCACTATCGAAATTTTGAGTTATCTGAAATAATTTCATATAAAATTAGCATCATTGAGATTCAGAAATCATAAAAGTTCTCAAAAATTAGAATTACAAAAACAAAAATTTGCTTCTTTTGCTGAATTAAGCATTGCTTTGAATTGCTCTACTCCTTCTTCAGATCAAAATATGAAATTAGAATGATGGAAAGGTTTTAAACTTTGAATCTCCTCACCTTTTGTCACTCATTAAACAGACTTCTCTGTATCTAATTTGTGAATGTAATGGCAGACATTTCATTTGAGTACTTTCTGCCATTTTTCCTGTCAGAGACATATTTCTTTAAAGTAATGAAACTTCTAAAGTAATTTCTTGTGGAGCACACAATGGATTGTTTAGGCTAAAGTACTTTAGACTTTGTTCCCACTTGTACAATTCACATTTCAGAACAATTTAGAATGTTTTGTTCTTCACTCATTTAAATTTTATATATTCAGAACTTCATTCTAATTCTTTATATGGATCCAAACGAGTAGTAGAGCAACTCTTAAAATATCTTAAATTTGCAAGTTATTATTATAATTGTAAGATGTTTTTTCTTATAAGTTTCATTTATTCTAAAAATTAAATGAATGCTTGAAAATAATAATTTAAAAAATTACATTTTTGAAAAACAGTGTTTATGAATTTTAAGATTTAAATATTCAGAGCCATAAATCAAACTTAGAGTGAAAAATTACCTGCTATAACTCCTAGTAAGTATACCAGTCCAACTCTCCACCATTTGTGCACCAATTCTAATGGCAATCCCAAAAGTAATTGTACTAATATGTTGAATAAAATATGTATAATACTGTAGGAAAAAATACAATTATTTAAATACTCTCTATATATAAATAACACAAACTTATGTACAAAATTTTTATTAATCCTAAATAAATTAGAAGTATAAATTAAAAAGGAAAATATTATCATAAATGTAGTCACAATGAAAATTTATCCAAAATATAACATTAATTAATTTATTTATTATTATTTTAAATAATAAAGTAATAATAAAGTAATAAATAATAGAATATAAGCAAGAATTACTATTGTTTTCCAGACTTTTTAATATTACAATCTCCGACTTAGATGAATTTGTGTAAAGGTTGGTTTTCACTTTAACAGAACCATGTGACAGTTTATTGACACAGAAATGTTATTCTCACTACTGCAGCACACTGTCAAATGATGTTTCCATATAGTACATGTTGGGAAGAACATATTACTTGCAACTTTACATTAGGTCTAATTGTATGCCTTCTACTCTCAGCAAATCTTATCACTTTCCTCAAACATAAGCATCTGACTACTGGCAGTAAAGTAGAACATTCAGGAGGCAAGTGTATTCTGTAAATCAAAGCAGGGAATAATCCCAGCAAATAATGAAAAAGTCCTGTTTCAAAGATCTTAAAACTGGACTTTTCATTAGTTTTCAAGAGTGCATCTTGAAGGTATATTAAAGGATATACAGCCCTCCATACTTGTGGATCAATTAGAAAAGAGAATAGGATGGCAAGCACACTGGTGCAAACTTCCTGGAAGTCCCAAGGAGGAAGAAACTAAGTTGACATCAGACTCATACTGACAATAGCAGATAGAAACTGGCCATCACCTATATTTTCAATTTTTATCATTGGATGATAATTTGGTAAAATTAAAATTGAAGACAAAATCTGTCAAAATAGCAATTAATAGTAAATAACAGGTCAGTTGTCAAAAGTTGTATTCTGGAACAATAAAAGTGAATAAATTGCCTAGCTATGAAACCAGTTTGTCAAAGTAATGGTCCAGTCTATATTGCTAGACAATCATAAGCCCTAAATTGATAAGTTTTAATTTAACAGTTAATTGATTGGACTTCGAACTCAAATGTGAGTTATAAATAAACACTTGGCTTTATTTCCATCACTTTTTAGTTGATTGATTGCCAATATCTGACAGCAGAATGCAGCATTTACTTTGTAAAAAAGAATGTTAGAAGAATATCACTTTAAAAACAAGTGAAGCAAATTTTAACAGACTAAAACTGTTTATTTGACATTGAGATTTTCAAAACTTATACACTTCATCTCAAGATGAAACATCTAAGTTTGGTGAACTTTAATGACAAACAGAGAATTCTTAATCTGTTAAAATTTATTATATTGTGTACATACTTATATTATCAAGGAGTTGTAATATGTCTCAGTATAATTGAAAAAATTTGTTAATTATTAATCATATGAAAATAAACTATTAAACAAAATTAGACTGTACTTCACATTAAATAAATACATAGTATACATTTATAAATTTAACTGATAGTTCTAATGGATTTTTTAAAGAAATTTTCAACCATTTTCTAAGGTACTTTAAACTTTTAACAAATTGTTAATTGCAATTTGAGAAAAATTTACTTTAGAAGGCTTCTATAAACATACAAAGGCAGTTAAACTTCTATCTGGAATTTCAATAATGGAATGAAACTGTATGTGTTGCATAGTTCCAATGTATGTTTCTTTTTTCTAAGTACTCTCTTTCCACACAATGACATTTCTGCCATTGTTTTGACACTGATACTATGCCTGCAAAATAGAAGTCTTTTGGCTGATGTTGGAGAATGACTAGAACAGAGTGGACATGATCAATACACTTAGTTAAAAATTCTGGATTGCTATGTGTATTGTCTGGGATCTTCTTTTGTTTTACTCTTTCAGACCGATTATGGGTTTGGCGAGACCCACAATGGAGTGACCGGGTGGTGAGGGACATATTGTCTGGGATCTATCACCATGCAATAATCACCCGTTTGGCTCTTTAAAAGAAGCTTTGGAACACAGAAGATTCACCCAAAATACTTAAGTCTTGCTTCTTCTTAACAAGCCCTCTGAAGTCAGAGTTTGTGATGTAGTGACTCCAACACCAGTTGAAAGTCTTCTATATTGCAGGCATAGTATCATTGCCAAATGAAGGAAGAGGTGTCAACATGTGGAGGAGAGTATCTAGAGGAAGAAACATAAATTGAGTCTATACAACAGGTAAAGTTCCATTACAATTACTGAAATTCCAGAGAGAAGTTGAATCACTCTTGCATATTATGTTAAGTTCAAAATTCTTCTGTGAAAAGTTGCTTACCCTGCATGAATTAGCATGTATGTCAAGTAACGCCAAGCTTGGTATCTTCGTCTCGGATTATAAATTAATATACTATCAATTGGAACTGGACCAACAGAACTTAACTCTTTCATATCTACACAATAATATATAAATACTGCAATCTGAAAAATAATTAAACATATTTTATTTATTTTTTAAAATAAATTTCCATTTTGTTATAAGTAATCAATAACAATACCTCAATAAGAGTAATAAATATCATAAATAATGGAGGTGGCATACAATTATAATACTGTATGTAATTTCTTAGGACAGTTGCTTGTTGGGAATGTGGTACAACAGTTTTTGTAGCAAATTTCAGTAATTTGTGAAAATATGGTCTGTTTGAATACATCTGAGCAGCATGAACCTGAAAAAAAAAAATCACAACCTAAATTAGAAAAAAGAAAATCACTGATTATTTTTTTAATACTCTGTTTTAGCTTGTGAGAAAAATAAAAATAATTTAGTAATGTGATAGGATTTGTTCAAATATATTTTAATGGTTGTCTACGTGCTATGTGGAATGGTGATAATCTCTTGCCTAACGGCATTACGTATATTGGTAAAAAACAAAAATTGTTATTTATAAATACAAGAAAACAAAGTAAAAAGTTTGTTTGAAAGGTATATACTTGGCAATGTCTTAAAATGACAATGCTTAACAAGAAACACTTATATCTTGAACATTTACTTACTCTGGGCTTAAGAAATAAATTTTCAGGATATAAGTGTTTCTCATAATATAAAACAAAAGAGTATTTTGGCACAGTAGCTCACAGTGCCAAGTCCTCATAGGTTTAATCCTCCTCTATAATATATAACTCTGATATACATTATACAGAAATCTGTAAATCAGATAGATCAACAAAGTATGGCAATATAATGAAGACATTTCTGGAAAATCATAGCAGTGTTTGACTAAATTATTATCTTGATGGAAAATGACTGCTTGAAGTCTACCATGGAAGACAACACAAAGATTTCCTAAATGTACTGCTGTGCTGTCAATTTCCCCCACATTACTGATAGAAGTGACCAATGGTCATATGTGATGGCTCCCCAGACTAGCACTCCACAGTAGGCAGTAGTACACTGTCAACAGTAAAAGTAAGATTGATACATTCACCAGTGGTTCTCCACACTAACACAATGGTTGTCCATACCAAATAGAGCTGGTATTTGTTGCTAAAGACAATATGTTGCCAGTCTATAGTAATCCATACTTCTTTGTCATGGCACCATTGCAAACAAAGCTGTTGATGTTAGGATGTTAATGGTAAGATGTGTATTGATCACTGTGCATACACATTTGTCTCTGATAGTTGCCTACTAATTGCACTAGAAGAAAAACAATTCTATAGTAGGGATGGCAAACCATTTTGAATACAAATGCCATATAATAAGCATACTTGCCTTTAAAAATTTTGATGTGTACCAAAGTTTTAGACTTCAAATAACAATGGTTAAAGAAATTAAATGAGTATGCTTTAATTAGAATAAATGTAAAGAGGCTGATTGAAAAACACAGATGATAAACCAAAACTGTATGATATGTTATATGCCAGATGATTTCTCCTTAAGTGCCAATTTGGACATGAATTTCTTAGGATCACCACCCATTCTATAGCCTTATATAGCCTTATAATGGACAAAAGTGCCATTGCAGTTCACAATCAGACAATCATCTACCCTGGTGGTCATGTCCACCATGTATAGGTGACCTCACAGATCCACTTATTTTTAGAGTAACTTAATCTATGTAATTTGCAATATATTTCTTGATTCAACTCTCTACTCTCTACTCTACACATATTATCGATCAAAGTTCTTAAAATTTATTTGATATGAAATTAATTTTACTATTTTAGAAGATTAAATTTTACCATTTTAAGGAATTCATAATAACTCAAGTGACGATTTTTGTCCCAGTCGGCACGCTCGATTATTTCTTCTATCACTTCTGGTGGGAAATCCGATTTGATTGCAGTGTTTACATTTTGTAGATAAAGTTTTAATTCGTCGAGTGCTATTAACCCATCTTCATCCGTATCATACTGAAAAACATTAAGAAAAGAGTTATAATTGTAATAAACTATTTACTTATACTAAATGATATTAAATAACTTTTTAAGCCTATAAGATTTTAACAAATGCAATTCTTCTACATTTAGAATATATTCTATATTACATTATTATTTAAATAATAGTTTACCTTTTCAAAAACAGGTCTCCATTGCTAAAAAGACAAAGATTCATTATTATAAATGAATAACTATTGAATAGAAAAACAAAATTATATTATATTAAAATATATTGTATATATCAGAGGTGCCTCTCAGTAGACAGGACTCCTCTCTTTTATGGCTACATAAAAAAGATATAGGCATTAGTGTCTTATTGAAAGGCATAGTAAAGTCCGTGATATACATTCTGGGATCATAGAAGAAATTCAATGGGGGAGGTAACCAATTAAAGAATGACAGTTTAAAGCCTTGCATGAAATTATAATAAAATTGTACAAAAAGGTTTGCTTTACCTGCTGCAAAACAGATGGAAGATTAGAATCTATCATCTGTTTTGCAGCAGATTAGAAATGTATGTAACAGAAATTATGACATTAATACTATTAAGCTAGGATTATATAGATAGCCTGGAATAGCAAGACTGCTTGATTGCAAAATTAGAAGAAGACTACTAAATTAACCAATGCATCTTTAACAGTGGGTAAATGCTGAAAAGATGCTAATATTTTTGACCTGGTTAACAGGCCACCTTCAGGCACGGACATCTACTGGCATGAACTGGAATGCCAGTGTCAGTTAAGAAGGAAGATGGAACTTAGTAAACAACAATGGGAAATACTATACAAAAGCAGTAATTGATGTAAAACACTCCTCCTTAACTACCACTCACATTCAACATATCTATCTGCATCTAGATAATCCATTTACTGACAGCCCATTAACTGAGTTAAAAATGCTAGTATCTCTCCAATTTCACCCAGGGCCGTACATAACTGCTGTTATTCTATCCAATTCCTGTCTACAAAAGCAAGGAAAAAAATAATTCTTCTTCGTAGTTGAGACTTAAGTATCTTTCACTAGATTCTTAAATATTATTTGTCACTTCCAGGCTAGACACTTCAGTTTCTTTTGTTTTAAATTCTAGATACTTCCAAGATAATATTTACCAAAGTATAAATAATTTATACTTTTAAAACAATGATACCAACTGGTCATCAAAAAATACAAAAGCCTTCAACGGGAAGAACAGCCCAACATATTGTGTCATATGGGTTCAGCCAGACTCACAATGGGGTGACTGGATGGTTGGGGATAGAAAGAATCCAGGCAAACAACTTCCCAGGATTCTTTGTTTTCAAAAGAAAACAAAGGTTGTCATGAAAGTCAATGAGACACGAGTGGACAAAGAAAAAAAAAAAAAAAAACATTTCATTACAATATTAAATCAATAACGTGTTTAATTTAAAATGTTTTATATTATTAAGTAATTGTAACAAATTAAAAACTAATTAAAATAATAAAAAGATTTATCTGAATAAAAAAATTCTCATCTATTAAAGCTTTAAATATAAACAATAAAAATATAAAAACTGAAAAAAAAATTACTTTTTCCAATTAATTTTTGTTCTAATAATGAATTTAAATTTATAAATTAAAAAAAAAATGCAGAAAATTTTTAAAAATATATAAAATAAGAGCCTGAAAGAAACAAGCTTATAAAATTTTATATAATAATTCGAGAATTTCTGATTGCCTATGCTTTATTTGATGAGTTCGTTGACTCAAAAACATTAAATATTTAAACACTGGAAAAAAAAAGTTTTCATAAATCATTTTTTGATTAGAAAAACTTGTATTAAAAGTAATAATTTATTTTTAGTTATCAAAACAATTTTTTTAATGAAAAAAGACACACGAAAACTATAAAACATGTAAAATATTGATAATATTTTATATATTGACTATTTATTGAAACTATAAGAACTTGACAATCTTTTACAGTTAAATAAAGGATATTGTAAAAGTAATAGGTAAAAATCTCATAAAAAGGATGGAATGTAGATATTTGTCATTGTCTAATTCCACTCGTACGATTGAAGACCTTTCACGACAAGGGTGTGTCATTGTCATCTCTATTATTAGATAAATTCCTATGAAAAATAGATTAGACTACTGTAATTGTATTAAAATCAAATCTTTTTGCTTAAATTTTAATAATTTTTAAAAGTATTTGTTTCACGAAATAAGATTCTTACGTCCATCATACTACTGTACAAGTAAAAATTTATATATTCATATACGATGTCAAATACAGTATACAGAGAAAAAACATACCGTCTTTTGGCATTAAATTTGTTTACTCGATTGTATTTAACATTTAAACTTCAATAACTTCATAACAAACCTAAAGGAAAAAGAACAGAATTTTGAGAATTCCCAAAAACATCAAAATTTAACTTCCGTATGATACCTTATAATAGAACTCCTCAATTTCAGTACCCAATGGAAAGTTCATATTACATTCAAACCCATGATGCCTGTAAGCATGTAAGAGACTAATATTCAATGCGCTTACATTATGTAATATCAAATGCGCCATGTAGGTCTACCATCACCTTTATATACTAAAATTTCAGCACTATGGAAAGATAGATAAGACTAGATGGAATTCCTGTTGCTGTTAACTATTGCATAACTCTATTAGGCAACAGAAAGACACATCTATTCATAAAATGAAGCTAAATATCCATGATATTATATTAATATATAAACCATGAAACAATCAGGAAAAAACCAGTTACTCCATAAAAAGTATGACGAATAATACTGGAGAAAGAGATAATAGATTGTATTTGAAATAATTGATTGTCACAAGTTAATGTAAGTTCTAAAAATATATAAAATTATCTCTACATTCCATCATATATTAAATTTAATGGAATTGGCAAATGCTATTAAATCATTAAAGAAAGAAAATTGTCTTAAAGACATTAAAGAACTTATTTTTGCTAATTGCTTTTGGCCAACTTAATGCAAATTTTCAGAGAACTTCAAGAAAAGATGAATATATAAATTATTAATTTACGTAATGAAAAACTCAGCAAAATACAAAGACAATATACATATATATTTACTAAATCTGGCATCAATCAATAACAAAATCGAAACGAAAAATGAAATAAATGGCAAAATAAAGCATTAGCATTGTTGCTGAGATATATGTTTTTGAATAGATTAAGGCCAAATTTCTTTAAATAAAAACAAATAAACAAAATTAAAATGTTTAATTTGATTTTGTTTCCTATCTCATATTTATATGCTGATAATATTTATGTCATTCAGAAACAAACAGAAAGGAGATGAAGGCGATGTATGAGGCTATTAATATTCAAAGTTTTAAATACTTAATATATAATGAATATTCAGTATTTAAGTTAATGTTACCTTAGTAATTAATTTTATTCAGTATTTATTTAAAATATAACGTGTAAACTTCAATCAAAACTCGAAATTGGAATGAAAATATTTAAAAACCGAATGCCTTCAAGCTCCAAAGACGAGCCAGCAACACTCAAAAGTACTTGAATTTTAATAAAATTTGAGATTTTCAGTCTAAAACAACATTATTATATTTTAAATTATAAGAAAATTAACATGTAAAGTATACTAAAAACTTAAAACCAATAAATAAAAAATAAATTCATATCGATTTTTAGTTAAGGCAGTAAATCACAATTTAGAAAATGTATATCAGAACTTTCGAATATGGAAAAATAAATGATATAATTTCTTATCAATTCACAATTTAAATCTGTCATTAAAATAATTAATTTAGATTAATTATTAAGTAGAATTTAAAGCAGAAAATAAGGTCGCCAACTTTCAGAGTAAAAGTTCCAAACATGGCACAGAAAAAAGTAATGCGCAAAAGAAATTTTATTAAAAAATTTCCTTCTCTTGATGATTACGGCGATAATGATGACGAGACAGCAGGACGATCAAGGCAATTAAAGCAGCATACCACCGGACTAGGAATAGAATCCGGGCAAGTAACCACAGGAATTTTTCACGGCTATCCGTTCCAGATACGTCCAGCATCCATCCCTCGCCGTCCTACCGCCCAGTACTGGGTTCGGCCATACCCACAATGGATTTGCAAAACGGTCCACAGGGTGGAAAGCAGAGGGAATGGAAACTCGGGTGCCAACTTTCACAAGGAAAAAGTGAAGAACTGGGGACACGCACACACAGAACTCCTCACTCATTTTTCAGAAGAGAATATTGAAACGAAACATAAATATACATTTTAGAAGCTTAAATTTAGCATTTTTAAGATAAAAATTCATCAACACGTGGAGCATGAAATTGATTAATTACTTGATAGAAGCATTTTTCAGTTACTTTGATAATGTAAATATATGAATATGACTGTAAATATGACGACAATGTATGATTAAATGAAGCTAAAAGCAACTTTATGCAATAATAATTGTGCAATAATCACCGCATAGAGAAGAAATAATAAAAATGATGGAGTTTTTAAACCGTTTTACCCTGTCTAATCTGTTAAATTCCTCATTGTTGGGGGGTGGAGATACTTTGGACGGCATCGAGCAAGCAACCCCTTCGACCTGTATCAAAACATACAGAAAAATTCAATGTTTAGATGTCGGCATAACCGGAAATGACGACATCTTTCCCGTTCACGTGCTTTCACGCGCGAACATGCATGCGCCATCTTTCCCGCCATCCGAAAATGGCGGGAGAATGTCACATGGTTGATTTTTACGATTAAATTAAATTGTCATAGTTAAACAATGGAGACGAAATTATCGTTTAGAAGCGTAGAACGTAGTAATGTAAACGTCGAGGATACGAACGGTATTGATGCCATCAATTTTACATCATTTATTCGTTAATTATCAAGTGGATAATATTCATTGTATGATTGCACTTATTATAATCTCTACAGTAGAATAATATTTAGAGTTATCTCTAAATATATGTTCTCGTCATGTCTGCAGAGATTCAAGTCAAGCCTGATCTTTTTAAAGATGTGAAATATTGTTTAGTTGATGATGTCAAGGATTACGATAAGGTAAAAAAATAATAATAAATACATTTTTTTTCTCTCCTGTAATTACCAGCTGGTGGTTTAGTATTACACCTGAGTAACAACTGAAAATCCTATATATTTAACAGTAATATATATGATGTATTTTGGAATTATTTTGATCATTTTTGGTGTGAATTTAACTTGTTTTTTCTTATATTTAATGCATTATTTATCATTTACAATATAAATAGTTTGTGTGTGAAGGAACACATTAAAAATTTAAGAAATTCTTATATTTATTAATTGAATAAATATGATTTGAAGTTAAAATTATTATGTGTATTTAATAGAATATATACACAGAAATTTCAGTGATATTTCGGTTAAAAACTCAAAAATGATGATTGCGAGTCATATATATTTGAATTAGAATTGTATGGTTTCTGGTTTAAAAAATCAAACTTTTTATATATTTAGTGTTTTATAATATAAATAAAGTTGCAAATAAAGGTATGTATTGCTTACGTTGAGTTAAAAATTCAATAGCGGTGCTTATTATATAAATTTTTCTTAATTTAAACTCTTCTTTTTACGATAACGTAAAAATATATACAGTTTCTTTTGCGTAATTAGCAGCTGGCAATTTTGAATTACACCCTAATAACGACTGCAGATTTTGTGTTTTTATTAGTAAAATTCATTCTATTTTGAAGATATTTGAATAAATTCTTAAATTTAAAATTAAAGTTTTGTTTTATATATATATATTTAGTGCTATATGTCATTTAGATTACAAGTAAAGTTTCTATACAAAAGGATATCTTGTATATGTTGAATTATGAATGATACTTATATATTTTTATATGACAGGCCTATATGTATTATATCATTTTCTATATTTTCTTATTTAAAGTAAAAAAAAATCTGAATGTTTCTTTAATGTTTCTTAATTAAAATCATCCTTTTTCTTTTATAAATATCAACACTTTCCTGTTTTTAAAATTTATATTTTTTATTATTTAATCCTTGAGTGCTTAATGAGGTTAAATTAAACTATTTTAATTATATTTACCTGATAAAATATATCTTAAAATATAATTATTTATTATTATTTTATAATGGATTCCTCCAAAATTGTATTTTAATATTACATATTTGAGAGAAATCCTTAATTATTTAATTATATTTATTTGCAACATTATAAAACAATAGCTCATCTAGTTTTAAAAGCCAACAATTTCTATTTTCTAATTGTTTCTAGGATATTCTAATATATCTTCTTGTTAAATGCAATGCTGCAATCTGTCAATGTCAAACTGAGCAACATGGGCTCTGTACCAAAGTTGCTCTTGTTTGCACTGTTTTGATGCTTGTGTGTGAGTTATGTATTCACCAAACTGTTGCCAAAAAACTCATTGAATTAATTCTGCGTATTTAATTTATTTTAATATACTCAAACACAAAATACACATTATTGTATGTACAGACCATCTTGAAGAAGAAAATCCAACAGTCTTACGTCTTTGATTGTATATATTCTAGAACAATATGTTGGCAAATTAAAAATAATGTGGGTTAGCTGATAGCTGTTTGAGCTGATAGACTCAGAATTGAAGTTGAACAACTTCAATTCCAAATCTATCAACAAATCAATTCATATATAATGGCTGTGAGTTGAGCTTAAAACAGATTGCAATTTTAGCTTTATTTCTGATAATAAAAAAAAAAGATTTATTTTAAACTATTATTAAATAATTCATTGTTTATTCTTATATTATTATTATTTATTTACTTAATTTCCATTTATTAATAATTGAATTATGCCTTGAGAATTGGCCTTCTTTTCCCATCTGTTTATACAGCTTTATATATAAATGCTTTTCTTATTAATAATTTAGCCATTTTCTTAGACTATAATCATAGTTAATTCTCTCTCTCTCTCTTTTTTAATATAAAACTTTAAAAATTGTTTTCTAGAACATTATCATTAGAAAATGGAAATCTGTTTCATCAAACACTTCTAATATTTGATTAAAAATCAAAAATCGTTAAGATAAGATAAAATTATTATTTGAGCAAATATAAATTAATTTTGTAAATAAGCTTATTGAGAAACTTTAAATTTGTTTCTTATATTCAGAATTCACTATCCTTGTACAATATGATAAAATAATTTCTTTCTTTATATTAAAAATTACTTCTTTAGTGAATATAACTCATTGAACTTTTATGCACTTAATATGTATTAACTTCATTTTGAGAATTATTAATTTAAATTACTTTTTTGTTTTTCTATTAAATCAAAAGCATTAAGTTATATTTCTTAATTTAAAAAACAATTTAAGATTTGATATTTTATAAAAAGCAAACTTTGAGATAAATATATTATATGAAAATTTGAAATAGGCCTAAATGAGTATTGTTAATATTGTTGCGGTAACCTTAATCGTTGAAGAAAATATTTTGCATATTCTATATAATTCCTATGTTTCTGATTTAGTTACATTTTTTGCTTTGTTCATATTATTATTTTAGTATTTTGAATTCAGGTTGATCTTATGTAGATGCAAGGCTAATTAATATATCGTATGTAAACATTAACTGATGGCTGAATTAATATAAACCTAAGCTGCTAGATTTTTGGGTTATCTAATTTACTTTCAGGCCAATTTACATAATTTGATTAATGAAAAATTAACGTGTATCCGGAAATTTAGATTTATAATATTAAAGTCATCCAGAAGTAAAGAAAATAAATTGAAATCGTACAAAATATTTATTTTATTTTAAATTTCAAAAACAGATTTATTGTTATAAATGTCAAGGCCTGGTTCAGAGGCATAGATGTGGGATCCATTCTTCTCCAAAAGCCATAAAATATGCAAATGAAATCAATGAAATAAATAAAAGCAGAGTTTTTACCAGTTATTTAGCAAATGAACCTTCAATTTAAACTATTTTATATAATGTTTTTTTTTTTTTTTTATATAAAAGACTAAATTTTGAGTTTATGGCTCTGGATTAAATGGTTTCATTATTGTTTCCATTGTATCTAGGCCTGAAAAGTCTTTGGTTAGACATAAACAATTTATATGAATTTTATATAAGTTTTCAGATATGAAAATAAAATGAAACCGGTAAAAAATAAATACTGTGTTATTTAAATGAAAAGCTTTTTGTTTTTGATTTTTCTTTTTATTTAATGGCTTTTTAATTGGTGAAAGTTGTTTAACTACTAAAAAATACCATCAAAATGTTAAAGTTTTAAATTATATTAATTAATATTGTTCAGAAAATGACTGAAAAGCATTTAAAGGTAATAAATTCGTAATGAATTCTAAATTGGTTATTGCTCTAAATATACTGTACACAATATAAAAGTTACAATCTCTATTGACTTATTTGATTGAAAATGTTTGTTCATGTATTGAATGTGTTGATGGTCAATATAGATCGTTTACTCATGCATATTTAGATGAGTTAATACATTATTTATTAAAATATTAAAACATTTTATTATTATCCTTTAAAATTACATTTACAAAAATATAAAAGAGTTTCGTAAATTTTATGAAAAACTTTTCTTATATTAAGGTTTAGACTTTTGAAAAATTTGTCTTTTATATTTGCAATTTAATTAAGAATGTTATACTTTATCGTGAGGAAAGGAAAGTGACTCTTAATACATGGATGGCAATCCCCTTGTTTTAATAGCTGTGAAGGTCAGTTAGCCTGAAGATGCCCATTTAACAGTCAAAAATGTTTGCTTTCTTATAAATTTGTGCTGGAAATTGGTTTCATTTGCTTTGTTTATTAAGTAGGCCTATACCCAGCTTTGAGTAGTTGATGAAATATCATTAGTAGTGCCATCATTATTTATATTGCGTATATTTTTATTAATGCATCTTTTTCATGATTTCTTTATTATTTACGCACTTTTTTCAAATATATATTGCACTATGTATTACGCAATTAATTTATTCTTTGGACTAGATTAATTACTCACTCTTATTAACATGTATTTATATGATATTTGCATGTTTTTAAATCTGAATGATGCAAAATTATCAATTTATTCAAAATTTGTTCTATTAGAATAATATTAATGAATAAAATTATAATACTTTGTTATATTTTTTTCACTTTATATTCAAAGGTGTAAAGTCATTACTTATTAACATATCTTTATACCTTTTGAGCATTTGTTAGGCATTTTTAAACTTCTAATGGGCTCAATAAATTGAGATAGTTATAGTGTAGCATTTTTAAACTATTTCTAATAAGCTTTGTTATTTATCTTTATTGTTACATGGGGAGGTGAAAACCTTTTGTCTCAATCAGACTTTTCTTAATGTAACTAAAATAAATAAAGTTTTAGATTCACTTCTATGCATTTGAAGCTAGAGCTACTTAAAATGACTAAGACAAAACCTTTCACACTTTGTTTCTAGCAGTTTAATCACCAAGTACAAACATTTTTGGCCATTTTGAATGGCCTTCTTCAGGTAAAATGCAGTTGGTTGAAATGTCGGTTAGCAGATATTCAAACGGCAACACTGTTTACATAGGTTTCTTCTTACTAGTGACGTCATTGTTGATAACAAAGTTTAGATGATATTGACATTGTTAATTTTCTTTTGATATTAAAAAATTTAAAGTGTGCAAACAACTATTGATGGGATAATTGTTAAAATTGGAAAAAATAAATGCAATAAGTAAAGGAAATGCTCTAGAGATTGCGACAGGCTTGGTGAGGATGGATTGGTCTGTTTAGTTTAAGGGGTTATCGAAGAGTGATTTTCATGCGGAGGAGAGCAAGTCTGCATCTCTGCTATTGATACAATTTTCCTTGAGGGATTTTTAAAAAATTTCAATGGTTTCAATTGTTCTAAGTTTGTTATGGGATTAATATTTTTCTCTGCATTTTATTTTATTTTTGGATTGCATTTCCTATATTATAATTCAGTTTATCTGTTTAATTAATAGTAAGTCTAGTAATCCAGTTATAACAGTGCATGAGTGCAGTTAGCATTTGCAAGGGAGCAATTGTACCCTTCTGCTGGACCAGCTACTAATATTCATGTTTGAACAATTGAAACTTGATTAGTTTACTTTTACACTTACATGTAAAGTCAGTTGCCACATAAGTACTGTACAGGTATCCATCATGCAACATGGCACTTCTACAATGTGGTTTCGCTTTTACATGAATCGAAAATTGGGGAATCCTCCTTAGAATACAGTTTTGCTTTAACACATTTTGGAAATCCGTAGAAATTTTTACAATTTTTAAGTGTAAGCACTATTATTCAGTATTTCCTTTATTTAAATAAGCATGAATGTTGTCTCAAATTTGCCCATGGAGTTAATTAGGTTTACTTTAATGAAAACTGATAAGTTCAATGTTTTTTCTTCCTTGTCCCAGCTTTCCTATCAACCAGGTGTCGTTGTCATTGGTTTCAGACTTTAGCCTTTAAGACTGACACTGATTTTATGGATTAATCTACTTGTTTAGTAAAGTTTATTTAAACATTTTTAGGTAAATGTTATTAAACTTTTCTTTAACTGTAGGTATTAATTACCTACAAATGATTACTTCATTCGTAAAAATGACAAATGATATACAGCAGTATGTTGGTATTTGAACAGTTTCCAACTTGAACAATTTCTGGAAAAAATTGCTCGGTACTCAACTGAACAAATGTGACCTTCTAGAACAAATTTTTGATTAATAACATTATTTTGTCATCCATAAAAAAATGATAAAAATAAAAAAAAAAGATGTTGCTGATATTTCTGATCAAGATCAATAAATAAAAGCTCAGAAATGATGATACTTCATAAAAAGAAAATATTTTCAGAGGCAGCATTTCTGGAAAAAAATAATACAGAAAATTAAAAAATTTATAATTTGACATGTAAACAACCATGTATCAGGTGCTTGAGAAGCTGTAGAAGTAAACAAATTTATAGATTGTCTGTTTGTGTAAGATGGTGCCTGTGAAGTCAATAGACTAAGCCACTGATTTCAAGTTCAACTTGTAGAAGTTTAGAAAGTCTGACTCCAACACTTATCTCTAAATAATAATTTAAAATACTTTGATTACATTAACTCAGAATGGCATTTTATCCTACCAAATAAGTCATCAAACTACTTTTTAAGCATTTTTTAAAGTGAATCGTTTGAAATTCCTATTGAAAAAAGTAAACTCCACAATACCTTTAAAATGCAGTTCAAATTCGATAACTGTTTAAAATAGACTGCATTTTAAAGGTATTGTGGAGTTTATTAATTAATAATGCAGTTAGAGATATAATGATTGAAAAAAGTATTTGTCTTTTTCACAGTTTTTTCATTACTGCCACTGTCATCTTCAACCATACTCATTGGCATCCAAAGTGTTTTCATCTGTGGTTATAGTAAAGAATTCAAAAACACTAGATTTAACCAGTGTCAACTACTAAGAAATACAATGTTAAATGGTTTTTAATCAGAGTCTTAGCCATTTTGTATAAGTCTTTTGAAAGTAAAAATTTAGAATTAAATAACACAGAATATATTTGAATATAAATCAACAGTAATTAGTAATGTGCAAAGAAAGGTCATGGATTAGGAGGAATTATCAAAAATAGGATCTTGCCTTACAGGAGACTCCTATAAGATAGGAGGTTAATATAAAGTACATAATAAAACACAGTAATCTGTCAATTATTACTGATTGACTTTAGTAATGAATTTGCCTCTTGATTGACTCCAGAGCCATTTGTTAAAAGTGAAAACATGTTTAAACTATTTATTAAGGAACTCCTCAAATGTAAATCCAACTCAAACTGCTTTTTATAGTACAAGAATTTAAGGTTCTTAAATTTTTGTTTTAAAACAAGAAGCTCTGCTTTCCTAAAATTTCAGTGTTTTGAGGCATTACTGCTTCCTCTTGAAAGACTGAATTTCTTAAATAAAATGAATCAGCAATTCTGTAAAACTCTAGTGCAGTAACAGTGAAGTTGTGACCTGCAAATCACGTGTGACGATTTCTAGGTACCAGCATTGAATGTTTAGAAAGCATTAGATTTTAAAACTTTGTATTATTTATAAAAACTTATCAAATATTTTTTTATATTTAGTGTGAAAACAGGGTTCTAAAGCTTTCATGAAAAGTCTTAAAGGCTACTAATTATGAACATTCAGATAGAAAAATTATATCAAATAAACAGCAGTGGATTTCCCATTAAACAAAATATTTAAATTCCAAAAAATAGTTCCATTATAACAACATTATTTTCTTTTCATTTATACAGAATTTACTGTTATTTTTATGATTATAGATTCAAAAGTTAAATAAAGTAAAATTTTTAAGCATTTTTTGTGATTTAGTGTTACTAAATTTCAAATTCAATTTTGACCCATTTTGGAAAAAGTTTGCCATTTCTATTCTAATGAACATTGAAATTAAATTATATATATATTTAGAATTTAAACTGTACTTTAGGAAAGTATAGTTTCTCTCTCTAAAGTAAAAATCCTAAAGGTTTTTCTTCAAGTTTTTAAGGAAAGCAGTTTGAATTGTACATATTTTAAATATTTAAAAAAATTTTTTGTAGGGAGTAGTGCTAATAATTCTGATTTCTGTATCAAAATAGTTATTTTGACAAGATAATAGATTTTGAATGATTACGTATGATAGATCTTAACTTTGAAGTAGTAATTCAAAGTGAAAAATAATATTGGACTTCACGCCGAATATTGGATAAGTAAAGTTGAGAAAATTATCATCTAGGCATTAACAACCTACAGCTATCACTACAAACAACTAGTGCTTTCAACGAAACTATTTTCGTCTTCTTCAGGTTGAAAGAACAGTTAATAACCTTTAAATTTAAATTACAGCAACGGCAAACCAGCATTGGAATAAAATCCAATGCTGGTTTCCAATGGGATGGAATACACTCCAGACCGCTCTAGCACAGAAAAAGGATCCCTGTCATTGCATAGCATTCTTCTAAGGTTTGGCCACGGCAACACTGGCAGGAAAAGCGCATGCTGCCTAAAAATACAGCAAATGTGACCAGTAATACGGCCACAGAATGGTAATGGGGGCTGGATTATCGTACATTCTTCCGAGGCCTGCAAGGTCGTGTCCAGAAATAGAGAACCTTTAACCTTTCTAAGGATGTACCTGTACTTATATCTAGCATAACCCGCTGCACTTACCGTTGCACTTATAGCTTCAAGCTCGATGTTGACAAGAGCTTGATTGGAAGACAACAAAAAATCTCTTCTAATTAGAGGGGCGATAGCTGCGTTGACGTAGTGCTGCGGTTGGTACGCGGTGGCAGGGATTAAAGGAGGTATGCTGTTGAACTTATGGAATACGGAGAACACTATCACACCCTGGGCTTTGTTGATGTTTAGATCTAAAAACGCAATTTCACCTCCGTTTTCCTTTTCCCAGGTAAACTTGATAGTAGAATAAACCTCCATAAGATAACTTTTGAGAATATGGAAATCCTCTTCTGTGTGTTGCCAGGCTACTAAGATATCATCCACATATCTAAGATATAATAGCGGGTATGCTATGGTGAGAGGGAAGGTAAACACTCTTTGCTCCACACGCCTCATGAGTAATTCCGCTAATATAGCGGAGAGCCCATAGGTACCCCTTGTTTCTGTAAGTAAATTTTCCCATTGAACCGAAAGTAATTATTTTCCGTGATAAAAATCAAGGCCTCTCGTATTTCTAGGATTTGCTGCGCCGTAAAACCCTCCTTAACAAGCATAGCATTGGCGAGCATAACCACCTCAAACTGCGGTACCGAGGGGTAGAGTGCAACCATATCCATCTTGTAGAAGTTGTAATTGCTATGAGATAGATTATCCAACACAGAAGAAATAGTGGCCTTTGCCGCAATGGACGATGACATAACTAGGGGCGATGGAGGAAGGAGCCCACTCAGTAACTTAGCTACAGCCGTCTCCAGGTGGTAGGTTGGGTGGGACCTTTTATTAACCAGCAGCCTTAGAGGCCAGTTCTCCTTATGGGTTTTTACTTCGAAAAAGAGCCTAGGACAAGCTACATTGGGCAGCGAATCCACATGTCCAGGAAGAGTGGAAATACTTGGAAGAGATGCTATTTTCCTAGCCTTCCTTAGTACCGAAGGGGTTGGATCAGTCTGTAGAACTTCAGCATGGGAAAGCCTGAGGAAATCTGAGGCTCTGGCCAGAAAATACTCTTCTTTGCACAAAACGAACTTTCTCTCCTTGTCCGAAATTAGAAGCCGTAGACCTCTCTCCTGCAGGTACCGCTTTACAATATAACTGTTCACACAATTTCCGACACCACTCTTGGAATGCTTCTGGGAAGTTAGCACTGAGACGATGGAAAGCTCCATACTAGGGAACTTAGAAGCCGCTTGGCAGTTTTTAAGCGCCACCAGAGTTGCTGGGACCACTTCAGAAGCACCAGAATCACTTGGTGGGGGGGATAAACTTTGGACCCCTTTGTATAATGTTGAGAACCCAGGCTGGAACATACTCATCTGTGTAATTGCAGAACGGAATTGGCTGTGGATGTGCACATTGTTTACATGTAATCCCTTGTAGCCATCTGAATTTTTTATTTAACTTAAAAAAAGGTTATTAACTGTTCTTTCAACCTGAAGAAGACGAAAATAGTTTCGTTGAAAGTGCTAGTTGTTTGTAGCGATAGCTGTAGGTTGTTGAAGTAGTAATTCATTGACAACATAGATAGGTCTGTTAAAATGACCAGGATAATAAGTATACACATAGAAAATTTATTAAAAAGTTTTAGAAAAAACAATACGTTAAAAACATCTTTAAATTTATCTTTCTACACACCCCAGGAAATAAGTTTCAAGGCAGAGTCAACCTTTCTTTAGAGGTTTCTTGTCCACCTCATTGTGTAAAATGTAAAATTTCCTTTGATAATGGCACAATTTAAGGCAGACGAGAAACCTCTAAAGAAAGGTCAACTCTGCCATGAAGACTGTTATTTCCTGAGATGTGTATAAAGGGCAAGATGAAAAGACATTCTTAATTTAATGTTTATTTTGAAATTTTTAAAATAAATTTTCTAAGTGTAAACATAGATAGAGGTAATCATAATAGGTTTATATAGATTAATGTGAATATAAGAAGTCTTAAATTTAATTTGGAAAACAATTAGTTCTGAATTTAATTCAGTTTAGAGCATTAAATTAAATCTCTTAAGATTTATCAAATTGAATATAATTTAATGAAAATTTTAACTTAATTATTTAAGTAATATAAAATTTAGGTATTAATTAGCTGAATAAGAAGTATGTTTTATTGTATTTATGTAAAATGGATGTAAACAGTAGATCATTTTTAAGTTGTTTGAAAAGTATTATGATATATTTAACTTTATTTTGTAAATTTATATTATACAGGATGTGTATAAGTCCTGGACAGTTTTCAAAATGTTATTGTGTAAAAGTTACACAGTGTATGATAAAGTATATTTTGTTATGTTTGATGCAGTTACTAGTTACATTTGTAGTCCCTTGTATAATTTAATTATTCAACTTCAACACAAGCTCTTATAATATAGATAAGTAATATTCACAGTTGTATTCTCCTAATTTCATATAAATTATCCTACAATAGGAATAGCTGATATCTGTAAAAAAAAGGGATTGATTACTGTATTTTTGTGCATATAATCTGGTGAAAGTTGCTAGAACAAAAATAAAACTTCTGCATAATCTGTCCTACTGCATACTCTGTGCCTATGGGTGTAGTTACTACACCATGCGTACAAATTTCTAATTGCAATTTTAAGTTCTAGCTTCATTCTCTTGACTTCATCATGTGAAAAATTTAAACATATCAATTCCTAACAAGATAAAGAATTCATTTTTTTTTTTTAGGTAAAATGTTTTTTGAGACCAAACGTCTCATTATCAGATCTCAAAGTGTTCCAGTACATATATATTCCAGAGCTGTTTCTGGAATAATTCAAAATTTCAAAAAGTTTGTTTCATTTCTTAACATAAAATAAGTCGTCATTCTAAGATGTCGAACAAAGTACTGCATCTCCTGTATGCCAGGGTGACCTTTTGTGATGCAGTACTTTGTTCAATATCTTATATAATGGAAAAGACCGATCCAGTACGGAAAATCTCGGAGTGCCATAAACTGGTGCAGGCTTCTTCCACCATTACAGCAGTGACGCAAATCGTCATTCTAACTTACTTGAATATAACATTAAAATAGATTAATAAAATAAAAGTAAAAACATAAAATAAATATTAAAGAAATAACTGAGATCCATCTGATGATGAGGTTTTTAGTCTCAAAAAACATTTCATTTAAAACTAAAGACTCCTTACCCTGTTAGTGGTTGTGTTTTTAAATTGCAATTTAAAATTGGCATATAACCTATCCATTGTATAACCCATATTTGCTTTTCAATTGTCTTTCAAACACAAATAATCTGCAGATTATATGCATGAAAATATGATAGTTAATTTTTCAAACATAGCAAACCTGAATTAAATGTTACAGTAATTTGCATATGACACTTATTTTAAAATGTTTTTGAGTAGGTCATTTGCACTAAATAACCATACCACAATAAAAACCTTACAATACAGTGATACAGTATTTTTAATTGTTGAACATTTTTGTTCATTTTTGATTGTGCATATAATTTTAAGGATAAAATGCCAATCGAATGGCTGTTTTCATTCAAAACAAACTGAGCATAAACATAATTTTTGACATTTTCATTTATGTTTTTAGATATTTTGATTTGTTCATATTTGTTTATTTTATTTTAGTCATTGTGTATTTTTTCAATATAAATAAAAACAAAACCTTTAAACATTCCAGCAAATCATTTTTAATATCTTAAAAACGTTTTGGAATGCTTTAAGTGATCATCCTTAGTTATCATTCTGAATCGAATGAAGAATTCGAAATTACGTAAAATAAAATTCAAAAAGTGGTTACAGAAATTTACATTAACACATAACATGCTTAAATAATCGCAAAGACTATACAAATGAATTAAAACGAAATAAAGAAGTAAAATAAAATATATACATTCATTAAAAATTATAACAATTAACTTTGTCGCTTATATAAACTACGTCAACTCATCATAGAAGGACTTCCACACCGATGACAATCCATTGGCATCCCTATGATTGATGCAGTTTGTGTTCAACTGCGCCTTGTGAATTTCTAATATTTCTAGCTGTTTTATGGCTTGCTTGGATCTTGTAGCCTTGATGAATGATACCTGATCCCAGAAGACCGTGATATCCTGCTATTTGGCAAAAGCAGCAAGCACTGTAGTGTCTATGTTTTTCTTCACTGAGTGCTTATGTTCATCAAATCTTTTCTTTAAGTTTCTCATGGTTACCACTGTGTATACCAAGTTGGAGTTAAATCTATGGTCCTTTAACAGACTTTACGATGTATTTTTTCATTAGCATATTATTGGGTTGTTTGAAAAGTAATTTTTTTTTTGTTTTTTTTT